TGGCTGACTCACATCATAGATGCAGCAAAAGACTGAGAACTCTTCTCAAAAGGACAAACATCCACTGGAGAACCACAACATGGACCAGGGACGTTCACTGCTGAATAAACAAACAAGAGCATCTGCAGTGCTGCAAGAAGTCACTGAACACATCTCCAAAATATTTATTTTTCTTTCTGTCAGAGTGTGCTCGTCACACAGAGCTCAGCTCAGTCCAACCTACTGACACAAACACAACAGTCAAAATGCACCCAGGAGAATAAGCCACTTAGAGAGAAAAATAACAGGAAATTACAGAAGGAACGTTTCAATCCAAAACGACTTTCAGAAGAAGATCAGGGGCTTCAGAGCAAACACTCGCCTCTCTGCACAGGTTCCACACACATGGTGAGATAAGGCTAACTGTGCTGTGGATGCAGAGTCACACGAGTCTTTTTCCTCACATTCATCTGCAATCAAAGTAGAATTTAAGTTTACTTCTAAATCAGGGTTTGTGCTATTAACCACTTGAATGAAGAAGCTTTTGTTCATGGGACGAGGTCAAGTAACAGAAAAGTTAGCATAATGTTATAACACATTGTTGGACGAGATACAATGTGTTTGCTCTAGTGAACCAAAAGTGTCAGTTTGTGATTTAGAAGCAAAACAGATCACTTTGGTCAGTAAAACAGTAATAAATTAGTTTCATGTCAAGATCAAATGTGACATATTAATCACTTAGAAATAAAAAAAATCAAACTGTTTTGTTCTTTTTGTCTAAAACAGCGAATATAAACATATAGAAGCCCTCAGATTGTAAGCCTGAACAAATTATCTTTTTTCCTCTTCTACATAGATTTGATAAAAAAGATTCTAAAAAAGTTTTCCTTCTTTTTTTAAAAAAAAAAGAAGCTGCAGAATAACTATAATGTATTTAAAAAACCAATAGGCCTAAATAACATAAAAATGTCTGTTCCACGATGTACAAACTATACTAAGTTTTACAGGTACAACAAATAATCTTTCAGAAACTGGATTAAAGAACACTTTTGCTTCACTTGGAAGAGAAAATCTTTTCTCAGGTTGTAAAGTCCAGACAAATCTAAAACAAAATATATAGCCTTTGAGTAATCATACTATAACTGCAATAACTCTTTAAGAGGATTTAAACAGAAAATAACTGTTTGTTAACGAAATGAATGGCTTACTCTGTAGTTTTTGTCGGTATAGGAAGGGGAGGACGGTGGTGAGTCTGTCACTGACTTCCTGGTGCGAGTCAGGTCCTTGGTGCGCTGAAAGTAGGATGACATTATCCTCCTTGTACCTCTACCTTCAGTCTGCTGTAACCCAGCTGGTCCCCTCAAGCAAAAGTGCTGCACGTGTGTGTGTGTGTGTGTGTGTGTGTGTGTGTGTGTGTGTGTGTGTGTGTGTGTGTGTGTGTGTGTGTGTGTGTTAGTTCAGCTTCATGTGCAGCCAAGAGTTGAGAAATATCAAATTGTTTAGCAGCAAGCAGACAAAAGTCAAAGTAGAATGAAGCAAAACAATCTCAGCCGACGATAAATACGCCAGAAAATGGTCCCTCAGCTCTGAAGTCTTTTTTCTTTAAATATACAAAATGGAAAAAAATTAAGTGTCAAAGAAAACAATGTGAAGAGAAAAAGTTTGCTGCACTGCTTCTTCTTGGCTTTCCCAAGGTTAGACCATCTCCCTCCCTCCCATGCTCTCTCTTCCTCTCTCCCTGCTTCTCTTCTCTGTTTGGTCAACGGTCCAACTCCCTCCACCCCCACCCCCACCCCCACCCCCAGCCCCCTGCTCTCTCCAGCTTTGGCAGCTCCCTGTGGCAGCCAGCCAGAGAGGGTTCTGCTGAGGACAGACCCAGAGATGGGGCTAAAACTGTGAACAGGGTTAGCACGAGTGAATGGAGCACCAGCGCATCAGCAGGAGGAGGCAGCAATGGTTCAGGCTCCTCTGGAAGATCCCCTGAGGAGCCACCCATAGCTGGGAGGTGTAACTCTGTGCATCCCTGTAGTGAGTCTAAGTGCTACACAGTGTTAGCACAGCACTTGACGTCCCCTGTTTTTGAGGTAGCATGTAACAGTGATCACACATTAGTTATTTGGTCCCACTGCTGTGCTGATGTCACAACCGTCTCGATTTCAGGAGTCCTTTAGGACGTCTGAAGTCCTTTTCATGCTTTGACTGGCTTGTTCGCTCTGTTCTGTATAGACTGTCTCTCTACATCAGTTAAATTAGCCGCATAGGTTTTTCAGACAAAATACTTCGAATACCACAAAGCAAAGTCCTCTAGTACTTGGCCAAAGCCCCAAACATGCATACCTCCTAAAACATGGAGATGTTCTTTAAAAAGCGGCTGCGATGCCTTCTAGCTCTCCTGACATCTGCTCAGGTCACCTTCCTTTTATAGAGAAATTCTCAACCTTATCTCTGCTCGAGGCAAAGGAACAAGAAGAAGATGGGAAAGGTAAACAAAGGGGAGCTGAGGTAGAATGGATGACAATGAGACTTCAATAAAGATGATGTGATGGGTTTTAGTTTAGGGGTTTTGGGCCTGAAGAAAGGCCACGATTTATGTTAAACGAGTCTGAAAGGTGTTAAGTCATTGTTATGGAGTGTGCTTTTTCATGACACGTGCATTCTGAAATAACAAAAGTACATAAAAAATAGGATTATTAATTATATTATTACTCAATCCAGTTATCAATTATCCAGATCACAGAGGTATAGGTTCGGAAGGGAAACCTAAAGCTTTCTCAGAGACATTCTCCAACGCCTCCTGATCCCACGGGGTTCCCTTTGAACCCTCTGGGGAGTACTGGGTCTACTTTGGGCCTCCTCCCACTTGGATTTATGAAGAAACCCTCCAGAGGAACTGGGAAGAATTCCAGTCAGATACCTGAAATGCCTCACCTGACTCTTTCTGATGAGGAGGAAAGGCAGTTCTACTCCACACTCCCCCGGATGATCAGGCTCCTCCCCGTATCTCTAAGGTTTAGCTCCCTAATAAATAAAGATGATTTCAGCCATTTAGATCCAATAGCTTGCTCACGTTCCACATCTTGTGACCGTACTCATTGGATGGACAGACCAATAAATCAAGAGCTCAGTCTTCTGGCTCAGTCACTTCCTCATCAAGACGAACGACGATGAAATGATTGAACAGCACGTTTAATGACTTCAGAAAAGGAATTGCTGAAAAATGCTGATCTATGTCTGGATGATATCAACACAGTCACACCCTAAAGGAGGAATCTGTAGTTTCCTAAGAGTTTATGGGCGTGCAAAAAAAAAAAAAATATATATATATATATATATATATATATATATATATATTTGGGAACCAAGTCATCCAGGATTGTTTACAGATAATAAAAAAACAGGATGTCTGTCAATCAAGTGCACTATTGTTTTTTTATTTTCTTTTTTATTGAAGAACAGTCAGGTGGAGTCCCCCCGTGTTTAATTCTAATGCTTTTCAGTTTGGGAGAGTCCACTCGTGTTTAGGATCACCTGGGATAGCACCACTGCCTGCAAGTTATATTAGTCTCCATAGAATTTTATTCTACTAGGAGTCAGTACTTAGTAGTAATTGTACTAGGAATTAGTACTTTGTAGTAATTCTACAGTACCAGGACTTTGTAGTAATTGTGCTCTTTTGAGCAAACAGCTGAGACCAAAGCTGTTCTGCACACTACCTGTCTTTTTTCCCTCTGTCAAAAAAAAAAGAGTGGAAAATCTGTTTGGATCATCAAAGAGTTGTGCAGAGCTTGGCTCTGGTGACAGACAGGCAGGCTGTCATGCCTCTGATGAAACCTCACTGCTCTGAATGATTATCACAGACAGATATAGTCCTGCTGGTGGTGCTCTCACGTTACCGACTGATCTCTTTCTAAGATTTCAGTAAAGGGGACAGCTGAACTTCTGACCTGGACTGAGCTCAGAAAAATCCACCTTCCATCCGTGCTTCATGAGACATGGGACACTCCTGACCAGACTAATCTTTAAGCGACGGCTGCTTTGGAGATTTTGTGGCAGACTAAAGGAAAGCAGTGCAAGTTAAAGAAGAGAGAAACAGCAAAGTAAGATCTGAATCTCAGGCTTAGGCCAAGCGGAGAGGGCTTCACTTTTGCCCAATATGGTATGGAATGCTGAGACACCTCGGCCAAGTGATGCAAAGAGGCAAAGTGACTTTAGAGGGAATGGGAGGTCGGTCCTACTGATCCGGCTCTTTATGAGACAAGTTAAACAAATCTCTGAGCAGGTGTTTCACGTCTGTGACTGCAGACCATCTGAAGATATTGCATCAGAGTTCAGACAGAAGCTGCAATATCTGAGAATATGAACATGAACACAGAACAATGAAACTAATGATTTCTGAGGGATTATCCGGACCAAGAACTTTCTGCAAAAAGGTTATGATACAAAATAAAAATAAATGCCTTTATTTTCACTTTAGGTGTGTACCAGAGACTGGAAAAGACACCTTTTGCTGTGCAACACCATGTAGATGAAACATAACTGTAAGAAATAACAAAATGTAGAAAAAACAAAACAAAAAACAAGTAGAACAATAAATAAACTGCACAAGAGGGAGGGGTCGGCCTACAGTTCTATAGTGTTATAAATATGCAAAAATGTGGTTTGTATGTAGTCAGATTCACAATGTGGTTATTGCACAGTAACCATTGTCTGATCAGCGAGCAGGGAGGTGTTGTCAGTGACGCTGAGTATCGAGTAATGCAGTAGGTACATTTATCATTTTATTTAGAACTTGTGGAAAATTAAAACCTAAAGAATTTATATTTTTGGAGTATTTTTTATATATATATATATATAACAATACTTTTATAAAAACTTGAAAATACCTCAGATGGAGAAACCTAATGTAGTAACACTTTGGCTCCATCTGGTGATAAAATCAGGGTTAACCCATTTTTCTCCAGTTTTGGCAAATTTTAATTTTAATTTTTTGTTCGTAAAGTTCTTAATTATTTTCCACATACCTCTTTATTTTTAACATCTCTGCAGAGGTAAGTTGGGTACGCGGCTGTAGAAATCACCTGCCCTGCTGCATCTTCAGCTGGATTTAGATTTTCATCTTTCCATTGGTTGTCATCAGCTGCAACAAACAAAACAAAGGACAAACAATTATTTCCTTTTTTGATAGATTTTTTACAAAAGTAAAAATGTGTTTAGGAGCCTTTTAACCATGTGAAAAAAGCATCTACAAATTGAAAATTTTTAGGTCTTTATTTATTAATGGGAAATAGATCAATTAGGTTAAATACACATCAGCTGAGTCAGAGTAGGGTCTTATTTCTAGAAGCGATGCACTCAATGTGATAAAACTTTCCTCACATTTGCAATAATTCATCCTGCGTTTGCAGCAACGACTACAGGTGAAACTGGAAAACGTAGGGTTAGGGTTATATGGCAAAAAGTTCAAAATTACAGGTGTTGCAAAAAGAAGGAATACAGAGATAAAATAATGACTTTTGTTATAAATGCTAACAACTAAAAGGTGCTGTGAGTTAAAAGTAAAGTGAAGGTCTCACCTCTGAATAAATTGCTGCTGGAAGGGAAATCAGAGGACAGACATGACAGGCTCAGAGACCCAGCAAAGGTTCCCAAGCTCCTCTTGATGTTCCCCTCCTGAAAACAGGAAAAAAACAATATTATTACATTTAGAAAATAAATCAAAATGAGCTAAATGCAGAGGTCTGAATGTGTGTTTCCTACTAACATGGTCCATGTTGCTCCATTTCAGAGTAAGTTTGGCTGATTCTCTGGTCTCTGAGGGTCCGTTCTCACCTCCACTGTCCTCTGTAAAGCCTGTCCTGAGACAAGACCTTTCTCCTAGAGCACCTTCTTCCTCCTTCTCACTGTCTTGTGGAAATAGGCTGTAGGATCTCTGAGCCTCTTTCAGCTCTGCGAGAGACACACCCTGCAGGATTTTCACACAGTTGTGTGTCACTCAACCCTTCAGAGCAGTCGATCAAAGCCGGAGCTCCTAAACCGTCTGGTTCGTACCTGAGTTGACCGTCGAGTTTGTCTGGCATGACGGGACTTGGCCTTTCTCTGAGACTCAGCTTCTTCCTCTTTACCTGGAGCTGGATGTAACCTAAAAACACAAGCAGGTAGAAGGTCCGCACGGAGACTCAGCTAAAGGAAATATTATTTCCTCTCTTTAATTTTCAAATTTTCCAACTGTTCTCATTTAATTAAAATCAGCACCACATGGGTCTACTGCACAGTTTCTCTTTATAAACCACATATTTGGTTTCTCTGTTGAGCTGAGCAGAAATAGAATTGTAAGTTGTCAGCTTTTCCAGGATTTGAGGAAAAGTTTTAGGGTCCAAAGACAAATGCATGAACCAAACAGGCCACACAAATCAGAACACTTCCACTCTGTTAAAACCTGCACCACAATCAGCCTCGTCTTTAACCCAGCTGCATGACCCCAGCCCCGGGGTCACTTGTCACGCTACATTTTGTCATCAGTTTTAGCTAGCAGGCTGATTATGCTAAAAAGTTATGAATAAAAGTGTCTCTTTTGTAGGAAAATTCTCTTCAGCAGGTTGCTCGGGGAAACTCTCCTGGTGGCTAAATGGCCTCCTCAGCTTGCTCACTAGTGCTACAAGAGCCTATTATTACATATTGGTTTGAATCAGATGTGTTGGAGCAGAGAAACATCCAAAACATGCAGGAAGGTGGCTCTCAAGGACCAAGATTGGACAAGCTTGCTCTACTGACATCTGAATCTGCCCCCTCCTTCTCCTCATCCTCACACGCATCTGACAACTGATCCTTTACGTAACTCACCTGGTCATCAGTGCAAGACAAACTCACCTCACAGGTTTCAACACCACTTACCACCTTTGCTGGAAAAGCCTCAACCTTCCTACATTTTCCAGGCTGCTCTTCTGGCTTGTAAATAAAAATTTCTTAAAAGGAAAAAAAAAAAAAAACTGCATACCGTAAATCCTCTAATACAGGCCCAGGCCTGTATTTGACTCAAGCTCATCAAGCTCCTGGGCTTTATTGGAAGGAGGACCAGAATCAGAGGCAGGCCTCAATTTCTATTTGAGCAAAATGAACTAATGGTTCGCTGGAGTTTTTGACAATTAAAATTGCGTCCACATTTTCAAAGTTAAACACATTTCTTTTAACAACGGTAGTTTCTGCTTCAGCCCTCTCCCCCCTCCCCCTGCGCAGCAGCCGCAAACTCACTGATGCGCCTGCAGCCTCTCGGAGTTCCTGCTGCTCTAAACAAAAAATAATTATTTCATTTTCTGTTCCTCACTTCTGATTACCTTCAATGGTGTCTGTTTGTTGCAACCAGCAGGTACAAAAACTAACTTGTTTTTATTTGACTATTTTTCTGTCCTGCCTGTTTATTATCTTCTTGCATCTCCTCTCAATCCTAAAGAAAAACTGCTACCTGGGTTCATATATATTCACCTTATGAGTTACCTTTGAACTGCAGTTCTAAAAGATCTACCGACCGCAAAAACAGCGGAGTGCTCCCGTTCACATCAGTTAGGTGCGTCACCGAGGACAAAACAGGTGATGCGCCCCGATCCACAGCAGCGAAATGCATCAGGCACAAATAAAAGAATAAAAGACAGAAAACATAAAAGGAAATGAGCCGACATGAACGATCGCGTGTTAAATTAGTTTTTGAGGTGGCGACACCTGATTTGATAATGTTACTGTGGCCGTGCTCAGGACGCAGATGTCTGGAGCACGTCAACAATCAGAGCTTTGCATGCGCAAGCTGGTTAAGGTTAGGATGGGGGTGAGGGGAAGGTTAAACTGCAAGAGGGTAAACGTCACAATTTGGTTAAATGTCCGTTTTACGGCAGGTGTCAGTTCCGACGCTCTGGCACAGCGCGTTGCCTCCCGACGCGCAGGAGCTTGTCACCTGCTGACAGCAAGCTGCTGTCTTTTCCGTGGATTGCATCTTGTCGATCATTATCACGTGACAGCGACTAGTCGATGACAGGCATAAAAAGTCACTATAGAGCAGTGAAGTCGACTAGTGACTAGTTCATACAACCCCTGCTACTGCTCCCCAGAGTGTTCTGCAGCATAATCAGCACGTTCTCTTTGAACTTGATATCAAATTTTCGCCTCCTCTTCGTCCCCGCACGGTTAAAGTTACCCTCGCGGTCTATCACTGGCAAATCAAAAGTGAGACGGATGACACAACCGCCCCCCGTACTTGCTTGTTACCACATTCCACCTAGCCACAATTAAAAAACGGCCATTATTCACCTCTGCCGACTCCGACACCGGCCAAAATATGATACCCGGCAGTTAATTAAATACAAGCTAATATTAGAGGATTTACGGTAGTTAGAGAATTCTCAAGCTTGCATTTGTCAAACAAATATGCCTGGGTCTGCCTAAACTGCACCTTCCAAAAGAACATTTTATTTCTGTTCCTCTTGATCCTTTAAAGAGGATCTGCTATTTTCATTTCCCTCTGTTTAAATGTTGAAAGTGATGGGAAACACCTACAATAACCAGCATCCTGTGAAGAGATGCGAACCCAATTTGCAGCCATGGTTTCAGACAGATGATGAGCTGAGTCAGCAGCAGCAGCAGAGGAGCTCGCATTTACCCTCACAGCTATTAGCTCCTCCTCTGCTACACATTTACTGCTATTGATCTTTGAGTTATAATCACCCTGAATCCTGACAGGTTCAGCTGTAGGCACTATAGCATGCTGAATTGTTCTGTATATAACAAAGATTTACAAAGAAATCCCAGCTACACACTGAGTGACTGCACCAAAGCAATCTGGATTAAAAAGTTATTAACTGATTAAAAAAAGTCATAAAAAGTCCCATTTTATAGCAGCAAATCCTGCTTAAGTGATAAAAATAATTGGTTAAAGAAGCTGAGAACAGCCGTGAGCAGGTTTTAAAGGAAAATTAAACAGGATAAAAAACCTGAAAGAACCTGCAGCAGAGAACTATTCAAAAGGCCTGGAGCTTAACTAGAAAAGTCTTTTGACCCTCTGAGGATGTGGAATGAAATTTGGTGACTTACCTGGGAACAAATGCGTGCATGGCTGCTGTGGAAGGTCGGCGACGCCGGCACAGATGGTGCAGCAGTGATAGGGAGAGGCTGGAGAAAATGACCGTGTGTCATCAGACTGTAGAGCAGAGAGAAAGGGGGAGGCTTCCTGTCTGGATGATGCATACATAATCAATTTAGACTTCCTAGCACAGAACAGCTGATGCAAGCAGGTGGGCACTCTTCAGTTCAAACGCAAGCAGCGGAAATATCTGTGCCAATGAGGATGTAAGTGGAAGTGTTTGTGATGCATGCCTGATAAAAAAAGAAACTTTTTTTTCAGGAAATCTGTTTGTGTATTTCTTTAAAATATCAAAATGATTTGAAAAGTGAACAAAATGTAGTTTTTCATCTCTCTAGGGTGCTAATGGCTCTCATTGATGAGTTAACATCTCTACAGATAAAAGGAAAAGTAGGGATTGTGACCAAAAAGGGAAAGAGCTGGTTCAGATTTAGATTGAAACTCTGATTCATATTTATAAATCTCATTCATGCAAAAAACAAACGATGAATCAAAATCACAAAACATCAGCGTGATAAGCCAGAGGTGCAAAAAGTACCGTTTACTCAAAAGAGTCAACGCTGTTTTATGTGTTTTGATCACATGGAGAGATTATAAATCAAGTTAAAACACTTTGTTTCTACTAAATGATGTAAATGTCAACTTAAACATCTTCATCAGGTCTGTAAGTGAACCTCTAACATTCTCCATGTTCTAACTTTATGATCAGCCATCAGATCCCTGCAGGAGGAACAGGAGACATCAGCTTGTGTTCATCAAACAGTGATGACCAAAAACATCAGATCAAACATGTAAAAGGAAAATAAAAAGTTTGCTTTAATAACCAAACATAAAGACTGATACCAACTTCGGTAGTACACATTTAGTCGAATGCCCGTGTGCAACAACTACCAACATTGATTCTCTTGTCACAAGTTTCAGTGTGTGGTAGATGTAGCTGGTATTATTTTAGGTTACGGGGTCAGCACAGGGACTGTGAGAGTACAACCAAAACAAATCACCTTTGATTTGTCCTCAGAACTCAGAAATCCCGACTTCCGGGTAGGAAAAATCTTATGAAACGCACCCCAAAGTCGGACCTGCCAGTAGGAAACTCAGGATTTCAGAACTCCGACCTTGACATCCAAAATGGCAGCTCTTTGTTCACAACAGTTAGTTGTGGTTGAAATGTGTTTGTTTTACAAGACACACACAAAGAGTGCATTTAAAATAAATGTTACTTGTAGCGCTTGCAACTGAAAGCTTCTGCCTTATTTGAAGATGAATTATATGCATTTTTTAAGTCGTCTGTGTTCGTTGAGAACAAACAAAACATCAGTTTTTGAGGGGTCACCTTATTGGAATTCTGACTACGGCAACCAGAACGTGGTTAACTTGGGTGTGATGTCATTCCCAGTTCCGAGGCAAATCGAACACAACAGATTCAGTCCATCACAGGATCGCCGTTTCGCCTATATGCTGCTGAACAGAGACATATGATTCACCTACATTTGTTTTCTCCTCCTGAAAACTTTTTTGGGACACTTTAGAACTGCTCTGGTGTTCTCACTGATGTTTTGTAAACTAACTTCACTTTCCAGTTATGAAGACATCAAAAACTCCAGAGTTAGCAGCACAACACAGGATTTCCTGTGCAGATAACATCTGCACGGTCATTAGCTTAATGATGATTAGGAGTCCTTCACCCGTGGCTGTATGTGAAACTACACACATGCATTCAGCTTGGCTGCAGTTAAAACTAGTTTAAACACAACAAATAAATTAATAACCTAACCTTCATAGAGCATGCATTAAACAAGGATTTCAAAAATATGCAACATGTCACATTTTTAAAAACAAATATTGCATTTATTTCACTAAATATGTCCCTCCTTTGCTAGTTCTGTGTTTTTTCGGAGCAATCTGCTGAGACTAAATCATTTCTATTGTCTTCCCATCAAGATGGAGGTCCGGTTGTATCAAAAATACAAAAAAAACAACTAATAAATACTTTAATCATGTCATGCAAAATGATAGCTTTAAGTTCAGTTTGTGATTTTATTGACTGTTCCTGTCTGGATTAAGGCGTTTGAGGTGGGAGGTGGAATCTGAGAAGGTCACCAGGCGGAGTGATGTATCAGCAGCAGAGCGCCTCATCCTGACTGGGTCATGAATTCAGTACCTAAAACACCTGGAAAACATTGACATTCTCCTGAGAAACTCCTAAGTCTTTGTGATAGATACTCCCAGAGTGGGAATGGAGAATCTGTGGTTTTTTGCATGTGGATTCTGCAAACAAAACAAAATAGAACATGAGGAGCCCCGTTTTAGATTCATCGTTTGGTAACGTCACTAAAGTCACATTCCACAAAACAAAAATCTTACATTTTTCTCATTTGTTTTCAAGTGAAGCATCATGTTCTTCCTCTGCCTCTTTTTGCTCTTCTTCCTCTTCGCGTAATTCCACATTGTATTCTGGTCTCCCATTCTCCTCCTCTGTTTCCTCATCTGCTGCTGTCTGGCTTTCCTCCACTGTTGACTCCTGTACCTTCTGCTCGTTCGTGTTTTCTTCTTCTACACTTTCTGACTCTTCTTCAGTTGTGGTTGTGCTCAATCTCTCATGCTCTGATGCAACAGTTTCTTTATCCGTGTCTCTTACTGCTTCAGGACCAGTCTTTTCTGTCTCAGGAGATGCTCTTTGTGCAGCTGCGTCTCTTTGATCATCTGCCTCTGCTTCTTCATGTGCTCTTCCTTCAGCTGGAGAGCGTTCATGTGTTCCTGTGACAGCAGCAACTTCCTCTTCCTCCTCATCTAGAGTGAATTTCTCCTCAGCTTCTTCTTCTACTCCAGTTGTTGAAGTTGCCTTTTCCTCTTTGACTGTTAAAATGGTTTCTTCTTGTTCTTCAGATAACACATTTGCTTCCTCCTTTCTAGTCATTGCAGCAGCCTCTTTCTCCTCAGCTGGATCGTCCTCCTTAATTTCTCCAATTGCATCTTCCTCCTCAGTTGCTGTAACTGTCTCTTCCTTGTCAAGTCTGTCTTCCTTATCTGGAGCTGCTGGACCTTTATCCTCATTTACTTCCTCCTCGGTTGCATCGGTCTCTTCAGTTGAGTCTTTCATCCCAATGTCTTGAGTTGCATGTCCTTCCTTCGTTTCTGCATCTTTCTCCTCTGTTGCTGCATCTTCCTCCTCTATTGCTGCATCTTCCTCCTCCTCTTCTGCTGTAGCATCTTCCTCCTTCTCCTCTGTTGTTGCATCTTCCTCCTCATCTGTTTCTGCATCTTCCTCCTCCTCCACCTCCTCCTCCTCCTCTGTTTTTGCATCTTCCTCCTCCTCTGTTGCTGCATCTTTCTCCACCTCCTTCTCCTCCTGTGCAACCTCCTCCTCGGTTTCACTATTCCCAGTTGCATCTTCACCTTCAGTTGAACTTTTCACTTTAAATTCTTCAACAGCATCTTCTTCCTCCTCCATCTGTTCCCTTGGCTCAGCAGGAGGTTGTGTTTCTTCCACCATCTAAGGCAATGGAAAGCAGAAATCCATCATGAAAAAAATGAACAGATAATTGTGAACATATAAAGCATGTCTAAGCTAATGAGAAATAATTTAGCTGACAAAGAAAACATGAATTTGTATTGAACGAGTGTCATAAAAGAATACATGGCGTCCCACACTACTCTGCTAGATCCATCACAATAATGACACAGAAATCTCGTTTTAACTCCCTGAACAAAATCAGTAACAAGACCTCGTACACTGAATATCAGAACAATGTTTTTTTCTTTTAACTAGTAAATTATGCTATTGCTACATAAATGGGAAAGTGATTCAGTTGTTTGAGTCTGGGTAATTTTATAGTCGTTTCAGGTTTTCATCCTTCAGTGTTCTTCCAGCAAAGTAAGATTCTGCATGCGCCTCCTGCAGACTCTGTCATACCTGCTCCTCTTCACCGGCCTGCTGCAGCCGTTCATTCTCCAAAAACTTCCTGAAAGACAGAAGATTCTTCATATACAGGGGTTTAACATGTATGTCTTTTTTCTAAAGATTTTTTGTTATTTTCAAAAAAATTGGTCTCAATAGAAAGTATTTCCCAGGTAATGCATGGTAAAAAAAAAATACTAAAACGTTAATTTTACGGTAAAACGCCGTCAGCCGGGGTTGCCAGGATGGTACCGTAAAATTTATGGGCAAAACATTTTTCTTTCACGGTAAGAAGGTGCTCCTCCTTGAACCGTCACCTTATCGTGGTGGAGGAGTTTGAGTGCCTTAATGATCCTAGGAGCTATGTTGTCTGGGGCACTTAGTGCCCCTGGTAGGGTCTCCCATGACAAATTGGTCTTAGGTGAAGGGTGAGACAAAGAACGGTTCGAAGGATCTTTCATTGCGGTTAAAACGAAGAGTCGGAGTACCTGGCCCGGAGGGTTACCGGGGTCCCACCCTGGAGCCAGGCCTGGGGTTGGGGCCCGTGTGCGAGCGCCTGGTGGCCGGGCTTTCGCCCATGGGGCCCGGCCGGGCCCAGCCCGAACCGGATACATGGGCTCGTCCAACTGTGGACCCACCACCCGCAGGAGGAACATGAAGGGTCCGGTGCAATGCGAATCGGGTGGCAGACCAAGGCGGGAGCCTTGGCGGTCCAATCCCCGGACAAGAAAACTAGTTTTTGGGACATGGAACGTCACCTCGCTGGCGGGGAAGGAGCCGGAGCTTGTGGCAGAGGTTGAGCGGTACCGGCTAGATATAGTCGGACTCACCTCGACACATTGCATTGGCTCTGGAACCCGAGACCTGGAGAGGGGTTGGACACTCTACTTTGCTGGAGTTGCTCCGGGTGAGAGGCGGAGGGCTGGGGTTGGCTTTTTGTTAGCCCCGAGACTCTCTGCCTGTGTGTTGGGGTTTACCCCGGGGGACAAGAGGGTAGCTTCCTTGCGCCTTCGGGTCGGGGAACGGGTCCTGACTGTTGTTTGTGCTTATGGGCCAAATATCAGTTCAGAGTACCCACCCTTTTTGGAGTCCCTGGGACGAGTGCTAGATAGTGCTCCATCAGGGGACTCCATTGTCCTGCTGGGGGACTTCAATGCTCATGTGGGCAATGACAGCTTGACCTGGAGGGGTGTGATTGGGAGGAACGGCCCACCTAATCTGAACTCGAGCGGTGTTTTGTTATTGGACTTCTGTGAAAGCCGCAGTTTGGCCATAACGAACACCATGTTCGAACATAAGGATGCCCATCGGTACACTTGGTACCAGGGCAGCCTAGGTCACAGGTCGATGATAGATTTTGTAGTCGTATCATCTGACCTGCGGCCGTATGTTTTGGACACCCGAGTGAAGAGAGGGGCGGAGCTGTCAACTGATCACCACCTGGTGGTGAGTTGGATCAGATGGCAAGGGAACATGCCGCGTAGACCTGGCAGACCCAAACGCATAGTGAGGGTCTGCTGGGAACGCCTGGCAGAAGAACCTGTCAAGACGGTCTTCAACTCCCACCTCCGGCAGAGCTTTGACCACGTCCCGAGAGCAGTGGGGGACATTGAGTCCGAGGGGGCCTTGTTCCACTCTGCGATTGTCGAGGCGGCTGTTGCTAGCTGTGGTCGTAAGGTGGCCGGTGCCAGTCGTGGTGGCAACCCCCGTACCCGCTGGTGGACACCAGAGGTTCGGGGAGCCGTCAGGCTGAAGAAGGAGGCCTACAGGGCGTGGCTGGTCTGTGGGTCTCCGGAGGCAGCAGACAGGTACCGGATAGCCAAGCGGGGTGCAGCAGTGGCAGTTGCCGAGGCAAAATCTCGGGCGTGGGAGGAGTTTGGTGAGGCCATGGAGAAAGACTATCGATCGGCTCCAAAGAGGTTCTGGCAAACTGTCCGGCGCCTCAGGAGAGGAAGGCAGCAACTCGCTCAAACTGTTTACAGTGGGGATGGGGAGCTGCTGACGTCAACTGAGGCTATAGTCGGACGGTGGAAGGAATACTTTGAGGAGCTCCTCAATCCCACCAATGCGCATTCCGAGGAGGAACCAGAGCTGGGAGGCCTGGGGATGGACTGTCCGATCTCGGGGGCAGAAGTTGCTGAGGTAGTCAAACAACTACACAGCGGCGGAGCCCCGGGGGCGGATGAGGTTCGTCCTGGGTATCTCAAGGCTATGGATGTTGTAGGGCTGTCATGGTTGACACGTCTCTACAACATTGTGTGGTCATCGGGGGCAGTTCCTAGGGAGTGGCAGACCGGGGTGGTGGTCCCCATCTTTAAGAAGGGTGACCTGAGGGTGTGTTCCAACTATAGGGGGATCACACTCCTCAGCCTCCCTGGAAAGGTCTACGCCAAGGTACTGGAGAGGAGGGTCCGATCGATAGTTGAATCTCAGATAGAGGAGGAGCAATGTGGTTTTCGTCCTGGCCGTGGAACTGTGGACCAGCTCTATACCCTTGCAAGGGTGATGGAGGGGGCATGGGAGTTTGCCCAAGCAATCCACATGTGCTTTGTGGATTTGGAGAAGGCTTATGACCGTGTCCCCAGGGGCATCCTGTGGGGGACGCTCCAGGAGTATGGGGTGGGTGGCTTTCTGTTAAGGGCCATTCAGTCCCTTTACCAGAGGAGCGTGAGTTTGGTCCGCATAGCCGGTAGTAAGTCGGACCTGTTCCCAGTGAGGGTTGGACTCCGCCAGGGCTGCCCTTTGTCACCGGTTCTGTTCATCACTTTTATGGACAGAATTTCTAGACGCAGCCGTGGTGTGGAGTGTGTCGAGTTTGGTGGCAGGAGAATCTCGTCTCTGCTTTTTGCGGATGATGTGGTCCTCCTAGCTTCATCCAGCTCTGACCTTCAGCTCTTGCTGGGTAGGTTCGCGGCCGAATGTGAAGCGGCTGGGATGAGGATCAGCACCTCCAAATCTGAGACCACGGTTCTCGACCGGAAAAGGGTGGCTTGCCACCTCCGGGTCGGGGGAGAGGTCCTACCTCAAGTGGAGGAGTTTAAGTATCTCGGGGTCTTGTTCACGAGTGAGGGTAGGAGGGATCGGGAGATTGACAGGCGGATTGGTTCGGCGTCTGCAGTGATGCGGACGCTGAGCCGATCTGTCGTGGGGAAGAGGGAGCTGAGCCAGAAAGCCAGGCTCTCGATTTACCGGTCGATCTACGTCCCAATCCTCACCTATGGTCATGAGCTTTGGGTAATGACCGAAAGAACGAGATCGCGGATACAAGCGGCCGAAATGAGTTTCCTCCGTAGGGTGGCCGGGCTCAGCCTTAGAGATAGGGTGAGGAGCTCGGACATTCGGGAGGGACTCGGAGTAGAACCGCTGCTCCTCCGGATCGAAAGGAGCCAGTTGAGGTGGTTTGGGCATCTGGTCAGGATGCCTCCTGGACGCCTCCCCGGGGAGGTGTTTCGGGCATGTCCTGCCGGCAGAAGGCCCCCGGGTCGACCCAGGACACCTTGGAGAGGTTACATCTCCAATCTGGTCCGGGAACGCCTTGGGGTCCTGCCGGAGGAGCTGGTGGACAAGGCCGGGGAGAGGACGGCCTGGAGCTCCCTAATTGGGATGCTGCCCCCGCGACCCGGACCCGGATAAGCGGAGGAAGACGAAGACGAAGACGAAGACGAAGGTAAGAAGGTGTTTTCATTAGGTTTCACAGTTAAAAATGGTACTGAAGTCAGTATTTTACTGTAGAAGAAAATGCTTTTACTTGAAAAAAAAAAAAGAAAATTGAACATGAAAATAATCTATAAAATGAATTTTTTGACATTAAAATCTACATTTTTGCTACTAACAACAAAATTCAAAGGGTTTTCCTCATTTCATACAATTAATTCATAGAATTAAATAACTATTAAACTGACATTAAGAGCCTAATCAGTTATAATATATAATTGCTTAGTATGAGGATTGCTGTAAAGTCACTGACACTAGTCAGTGACTTGATGCAATTTGCTGGGTTTCTTATATAGGAAACATTATTTCTGATTGGCCTAATGAACTGTCCTGAATTGGAATGTTTATTATGTGAAATGCCTTGAGACGACTCTTGTCGTGATTTGGCGCTATATAAATAAACTTGAATTGAATTGAATTAATAGCTTTGCCTGCTTAATTGTCTTTCTGCACTAGTGTGTAAAATCGTAGCAGGAAAATGCGTCGAGTTGGTTAAAGTCCCATTAGTTGTCACACACACTGATGTGTGTGCAAAATTTGTTCTCCGCATTTGATCCATCTCCTGGGGGAGCCGTGAGCTGCAGACACAGCTGCGCTCGGGGACCATTTGGTGGTTAAACCCCCCAATCCAACCCCTTAATGCCGAGTATCAAGCAGGGAGGCATCGGGTCCCATTTTTTCAAAGTCCCTGATACGACCCGACCAGGAATCGAACACTGATCTTCTAGTCTCAGGGCGGACACTCTACCACTCGGCCAATGAGCTCGGTAAAGACATCAGTATTGAAAAGCAGCAAAGCCTTCATGTGCATTCATGAGTCAGGTCAAGAACAGACACTTCCCTGACTTACAGTTTAGCCAGACCTCACCTTAACGCTCACTGGGACACAGGAAGCAAACTCCTTATACCATGACCAGCAATAAAAAACTGTATTAGTAAACATTAATCAATAAATAGCTATAAAAATACTGTGTTACCATTTTAAATTTGAAGGAAAGGTTTCATTAAAATACCATAACAAGAGTGCTTTACAGTAGAATAATTTTTCCTACAAAGAAAACATATATACATTACTGTTTTCATCAATTAATTTAAATACGAACACTTCACGTAAAATCAGCAGTTGTAGATAGTTTTGTCAATTAGTGTCAAATCGAGATGAGGTGTAGACGTTCATAACATTTACTGTCTGAATGATTCTTTGACCAGTTGAAGATGAACAAGAACACAGGCATTGGGACGGCCTGCTTTACGGTGCTTATATAGACAAATCAACTGATCACAGGTTTGTAAGGAGGTTTTGAGGCTCACTAACACTCGTCTAAAACAACAAAGCCAAGCCAGCAGGGTTTGATTAAAACATCTACTCATCATTTAAATGATGAAATCTATTTTTCCGCTTCCACAAAAGCTGCAGATTTTTTTTTTCCAAGATCTACCTGACAGCAGCCATCTCCAGAACGCTGACATCCAGCTGAGACTGGTGAGCCTCCAGCTGAGACTTCAGTCCCAGCACATCAGTGGCCTGTCCATGCAACGTGGCGCTCAGTGCGGCGATCTCACCGATCTTCTCTTCCAGCTTTAATTCTGCTTCTGCCAGGTTCACTGTTAAGTCCTCCACCTTCAGGGACAGCTCAGTGCTCAGGGCAGCCAAACCATCCACCTGACCCCTGACATCCTCAAACTCCTTGTTCTTCCCCATCAGCGCACTCTGGAACTGGTTCAGCTGCTCCAGAGACACGGTGGCTTGCTGCATCTCTGCCAGGCGAGCCTTCATTTCTGTGTGGAGGGACAGCACTTGAGCTGGGAGGTCAGAGGTCTTCAGCTGCTCGGCTGTTGCCAGGGCCATGCCTACTTGCTTCTTAGCCAGAGTGTAGGACTCCTCAAGAGCACTCAGACGGGTCTCCACACTCTCTGAAATGTGAAGCTGTGAGAGGAAAAAAGTCAATATGACTGATCACAGATATCACCAACAGAAGAAATATATATATATATATATATATATATATATATATATATATATATATATATATATATATATATATATGTAATGCATTTAGATGTAAATGTAATGTTTTTTAGTTTTTGATGTTAAATACTGTCCTTTTATATTGAGGTTTCCCTTGAAAAAGAGAAGTCGATCTTATACATTTAATTGCAAGCGCAACACTGTCCAGCCAAAAAAAAAGTCAACACCAAAATAAAAAGGTCACACTAACATTTTGTTAGACTGCCTTTTTCTTCAATCACAGCACATATTCTCTGTGGCGTTGTTTCGATAAACTTCTGCAATGTCACCAGATTTATTTCCATCCAGTGTTGCATTGATGTTTCACCAAGATCTTGTATTGATGATGGTGGAGTCTGACCGCGGCACAAAACCTCTCCAGCACATCCCAAAGATCTTCAATGGAGTTAAGGTCTGCACTCTGTGGTGGACAATCTGTGTGTAAAAATGATGTCTCATGCTCCCTGAACCACTCTTTCACTATCTGAGCCTGATTAATCCTGTCATTTTCATCTTGGAGTATGCTCGTGCCATCAGGAAAGGTGGAATATCCTGATCATTCAGTACATTCAGGTAGTCAGCTGACCTCATTCTTGGATCACATCCTGTTGCTGAACCTAGACCTGACCACCTGCAGCAACCCCAGATCATGGCACTGCCCCCACAGGCTTGTACAGTAGGCACTAGGCATGATGGGTGCATCACTTCATCTTCCTCCCTTCTCTCCTCACCAATCACTCTGGAACAGGGTCCATCAGGACTCAGACCAGTTTTTAATAATGTGTTAGACAGTTGTGGAACACTGAAAAGACATTTTTAAAATCTTATTTCTGATTATAATCGGTCACTGTGGTTTTCATGCGGGCTGAACATGAACAGTCTCCTACACCTCTCTCCTGCATTAGCTTCTGATATAAAATAGTGAAACTCTAGGATTTTAAAAGATCTACATCACACTGTCACTTAGCATGGTCTTCATCCAAGACGGGGAAGGCTGTTGTTGGTTTAGTATCCAGCAAACAGAAGAGAATACCTCAGCTAGTAGAAGCTAACTGCTAGCTAACTGTGATCTAACCCTTCTCACACAGACTAGCATATTTTCCACGAACACCAGATGTGTCTTTCCACATGGCTGTTTAGGAAATGAGAAGCTACTCATTGCACCAGTTGAGGTTAAATAACTTGTTACCAGCTTAAGGATAACTGCCCATGCAGCAATTATCCAATAGGAGGCTCCTGGTTGCTCAATTCAATTCCATTAGCAACATTTTGAGGGGTGTGTGTGTGTGTGTGTGTGTGTGGGGGGGGGGGGGGGGGGGGGGGGCTGGGCAGTGTACTATAAATTATAAAAGTTGAACATAAAGTCATTTTCTGAATAAGCCCAGCTCTGAAAATAGGTGTACTTTATTAAATTAGTTCTGATTTACATGCTGCAAGTGGCAAAACAAAAATGTGAACGCATAAAGTGACAGGTGATGGAACTTTTTTCTGATGTTCATCTGGAGCCACTCCTCGGTCTCTGGTCGTGTTAAGCAGGACGTTTTCTGATCATTCCAGAAGCATCTTGAAACTTGCAGACATCCTTTACCCCTGCAGACTGAACTGTTTTTGTGGAACTAGGCAGACCTGACTGAAATGTTGTGAACATGAACACAGCCTGAGGCAAAAAGATCACTTCACATATGAAAATGCATCATAAACTTTTACAATACGATGGTTTCTAAAACCCAAGCTAACCTAGTGCTCTACCCTTCAGATGGCCCGGACGGCCTCTGCACTGGTGTTTGGTGTCAAAATGACGGACTAAATTTAGCTCTGGCACTTTACTGACTTGTTTGTGATTATTTTTGTATCTTTACCATGTCTCTCTGCATTTGTGCCTGATCAGTTCTTCATCACAAATAATAATACTCAAAAGATGTAATGGCACTCAGTGAGTCTGCTGGTGCGGTACAAACAGCAGTTGTGTGAGTTTTAGAAATAGCAGCATTTAGTGGAGCTGAAACCTGAGAGAGGACTGCAGATCTTTGCTTTCTGGGCGTGTAACTGACAGCTTTCATATGTTATGAGGGATTTTATCCTTCTTTATGGAGTTGGTTTGTTTATATTAAGTCTTGATATAATAAATCTAAAAAAAAAGCTACTTCCAGTTCGATAGAGAGCTGGTCCCAAGCCCTTACCTTAGTATTAGTGAAGCGCATTTCTTCGTGAGAAGACTGCAGCTTTGCTATTTTCACCTGAAGACCCGTGAGGTTTTCTGTTAAGTAGGTTAAAGTTTGATGCTGCTGAAAACAGAACCACGCGCCCGTAACGCCTCCAAGCACAGCAATCAGAACTACAAGCAGCAGATGAGAGTAGTTTCTCCCTCCAGGACGAACTTCTGCGTTTGCAGTTTCACTTTGAAAGAAGTTCTCCTCCTGCTTCTGGTTGCTTTTTCCTTTCCGGTGCTTGGCTGTCATTTTTTCTCTCCTGCCGAGGACACGATGTTCTACTCGGGCTCCGAGGTGATATATCCGTCGGTCAAACAGCCCGAGCCGCTGTCAGAGCGGTGGTTTGCTCCAGACGGGTGGGAAGCGCGCACACCGGAATCAGGACGCTGCGCCCGGATCAGAATAAACAGAGAGGGTTGTGAGGAGGAGGAGGTGTGAACAGAAGATGAGTTTTAGTTCATTCAGTAGGAAAAAGGGGGCGTGAGGCCTGGCTGACACCTTCTCACACACCCCTCCTCGCCGCACATCCTTTCCTACCATGACGCAGCTCACGCAGCCATGTGCACCGCTTAGCGCGCGTCAGTGTGCAGCGCTATTTCTGACCACGGCTGGTGCCTGAGTGCCATCAGTACAATAAACAAACTAAAGAACATCTGTTGTTGAAGTGCTAAAGGTTTCCGCACCTTGAATGAGTGGAACACAAATACATGTTGTTGGTTTATAATTATTTTTTACATTTTATTTAATTTGACTTTTTTATTTTCTACTTTTAGATGTCAAACAAACGCACCATTTGGCTGTTGTTTACAACAGTGGGGCAAAAAAGTATTTAGTCAGCCACTGATTGTGCAAGTTCTCCCACTTAAAATGATGACAGAGGTCAGTAATTTACATCATAGGTACACTTCAACAGTGAGAGACAGAATGTGAAAAAAAAAATCCATGAATTCACATGTCAGGATTTTTTAAGAATTTATTTGTAAATCAGGGTGGAAAATAAGTATTTGGTCACTTTAAAGGAAAATCTCTGGCTCTCACAGTAACATCTTCTTTAAGAAGCTTTTCTGTCCTCCACTCCTTACCTGTATTAATGGCACCTGTTTGAACTCATTATCTGTATAAAAGACACCTGTCCACAGCCTCTAACAGTCAGACTCCAAACTCCACTATGGCCAAGACCAAAGAGCTTTCGAAGGACACCAGGAAAAGAATTGTAGACTTGCACCAGACTGGGAAGAGTGAATCTACAATAGGCAAGCAGCTTGGTGTGAAAAAAATCAACTGTGGGAGCAATTATCAGAAAATGGAAGACATACAAGACCACTGATAATCTCCCTCAATCTGGGGCTCCACGCAAGATCTCATCGCGGGGGGACCTGGTGAATGACCTGCAGAGAGCTGGGACCACAGTAACAAAGGTCACCATCAGTAACACACTACAACGGCAGGGAATCAAATCCTGCAGTGCCAGACGTGTTCCGCTGCTGAAGCCAGTGCATGTCTAGGCGCGTCTGAAGTTTGCCAGAGAGCACATGGATGATACAGCAGAGGATTGGGAGAATGTCATGTGGTCAGATGAAACCAAAGTAGAACTTTTTGGTATAAACTCAACTCGTCGTGTTTGGAGGAAGAATACTGAGTTGAATCCCAAGAACACCGTACCTACTGTGAAGCATGGGGGTGGGAACATCATGCTTTGGGGCTGTTTTTCAGCTAAGGGGACAGGACGACTGATCCATGTTAATGATAGAATGAATGGGGCCATGTATCGTGAGATTCTGAGCCAAAACCTCCTTCCATCAGTGAGAGCTTTGAAGATGAAACGTGGCTGGGTCTTCCAACACGACAATGATCCCAAACACGCCGCCCGGGCAACAAAGAAGTGGCTCCGTAAGAAGCATTTGAAAGTCCTGGAGTGGCCTAGCCAGTATCCAGACCTCAACCCCACAGAAAATCTGTGGAGGGAGTTGAAAGTCTGTGTTGCTCGGCGACAGCCCCAAAACATCACTGATCTCGACAAGATCTGCATGGAGGAATGGGCCAAAATACCAGCTACTGTGTGTGCAAACCTGGTAAAGACCTATAGTAATCGTTTGACCTCTGTTATTGCCAACAAAGGTTATGTTACAAAGTATTGAGTTGAATTTTTGTTATTGACCAAATACTTATTTTCCACCCTGATGTACAAATAAATTCTTTAAAAATCCTGCCATGTGAATTCATGGATTTTTTTTTCAAATTCTGTCTCTCACAGTTGAAGTGTACCTATGATGAAAATTACTGACCTCTGTCATCATTTTAAGTGGGAGAACTTGCACAATCGGTGGCTGACTAAATACTTTTTTTGCCCCACTGTATATGCAGTGACAATAAAGGCAAAGCAAGTGAACGGTGCTAATGGTATTGCTTTAATTTATTTATTAATTGTGCAATGCAATTTAATCTAATTATTACCTATCATCCATCTATCTATCTCTCTCTCTCTCTTATATATATATATATATATATATATATATATATATATATATATATATATATATATATATATATATATATCGGAAAATAATGGACGGACCACTGAACAGCTGAGAAATTTGTTTCATAGGACTTTTTTCTCCACGCTACAACGTGAGTCAAGAATCAAACCAGAACCTCCGTGTTATTACTCCTTTTGGTTATTTTGTAATACAGTCAGATTACATTCACATTTCTATAAGGATGTCAATAAATGATAAATTAGCTATAAAATGCCTGTTAACTTCTTTTGGCATTTAATCTCCCTTAAAATACTCCAAACAGACATTTCAGGAGGAATACGAAAGACAAATCAAAAGTCTGACAAGCCTTCCTATTTATGTGAATCTATAGTCTGGCCATGACCCATACACAGAGTTCAGTTGTAGAGTGGAATCTATGGTTGTCTTTCGTATGCCTGCATGCTACTGGACAATAAACAGCGTTACGGTTGTCAGTCAATGGGGCAGTCCATACACTATTGATGGAGACTCAAATTCAGCCTCTTGACTCAAAAAAAAAAAAAGCCAAAGTAGTCTAGAGTTGATGCTAGAGCCGTTTCAGACAAGTTGTTACCATCTTTGTTTTTTTGCTCAGTCGCAGTAACACCCTGGCTGCCAAACCGATAAAGTGCCATGACTGGCCCACCAAACTGACAGTGAGCTGTGGTTGGCAAGGCAGAAGAGTTTTCTGGCTTGCTGAGGCAACAATGGAGTGTGGCTAGACCGACATATAAAGCAAAGATTTCTAAAAATTTCATTGTTTCTATAGATGTTTCTAGAAGACACACCATGCTGGCAAATCAGCGTCATACTGCTGCTACAGTGTGTCTTATAAACGCACCATAGTGACATGGCTTTGCGGAATTTAGCAGCATTTGTGTGTAATATTATCGCAACATCGGACTTGTGAATGCATTTTATGCCTTGGCACAACAGAGGGAGGTGTCATGATCACGTGGGGAGTTACTGTCAAGCTCCTGCTGGAGACTAAATTGAAAATGAAAGTAGCTTTTGTAATTAGATAAACTGGAGTGATGCTGCGCTCCCAGAGCTTCTCTGTTAAAGCTGGAGGTCTGATCACCAGAGACTGCACAGGGACTGTGGAGGACAGACACCTTTAGGAGCGGCTCATGAGCGCGGTTTTGATGGAAAGAAAAGCCAGTTATGTCCTAGATAAACAGAAGTCTGCGGCAGCGCAGCAACCACCCCCATAGCTCCTTTACACCGCCATTGTGTAACTTTTTGTAAAAAGGACACGATTGAGACACATTACCGCCACAGTTTGACCACGTATAAACAACCTAAAGCTCCCTGATGCTGGCTCAGCGTTGTGGCAAATTGGCAACATTGTTTCGTAAAAGAGACTTCTATTTCCACCAACTCTCAACTCAACTCAGACAGGACTAAAACATTCAACAGGAAACAGGAATGTGATTTTTTAAATATTGGTACTTTTACTTTTGTTTTCACAAATGCCCAACTAAAAAATTACATCATCTGCATGATTGTGAATAAGTAAGATCCTCTCATCACCCATAAAAAGAGACAACATTGGTTTCTTCATTCTGTGGGAAAAAGAATAAAATATAAATCAGTCTAATTTTCTCTAATGTTCCACTAAGTTGCAGTTGGTTACCCTCTCACCTCTGACACTGATCACTGTGGTGCATTCTGCTCGTCCTAAACTGTTCTCAGCAACCACAGAGTACTCCCCCGTGTCTTTGGGACCAACTCGAAGGATCAGCAAGGAGCAAACTCCGCAGGTGTTGGAGATGTAATAGTTGGTGTCAGTGTTCAGACTGACGTGGTTTCGGTACCAGGTGACACGAGGTGCTGGGTTTCCCTTCACAGCACAGCTCATATGACATTCATAACCTACAGTTGCAGTCTGAAGCTTCAGAGGAACAATAAATGTAGGAGCGCAACGTAAGTCGCACGCCTTACACGTAGCTTCAGTAACCATCATTTTATCTGTGAGAGATGACACAGTGATATTGTTATAATCTTGCCAAACAGGCTTGTTTAATATAATTAAAGAAATAAAAACTCACTTTTCTTCTTCTCCTTGCCCCAGGTTGGTGACTCTGAAGGTGCTGATGTGCCCATGTCATTTTTGGCATACACCCTGAAGTGATACTCCCTCCCTTGTAGAATATTGCAAACTGTGAACTTGTTGTTAAAGAGTCTATCAGCCACTGTGGTCCATGTGTGTTTATTAGAGTCCAATTTCAACACTGTGTAGTGAAGACGGTCATCCAGCTTCTCATCAGGAGAAGGTGTCCAGATCACAGTTACAGTACCGGGAACGTTTTCCTCCAGCTCCACTGGGCCAGGAGGATTTGGATCATCTGGAAACACAGAATCACTCCTATCATATCAATTTAAAGACACCCAAACCTTTGCAGAAGAGCAAATATATTTTAGTTTTACCTGTAACCCTGACTTCTGTGCTGAATGTTTCCTGCCCGGCAAAATTTTTCAACAAAACTGAATAGATGCCTGAATCAGAACGCTCAGAGCTAGGAATCAGCAGCTGCGATGAGCCGTCAGAGTTACTGACTGTAGCACGCTTTGTCACGGGAACGTTGTCCTTTAACCAGGTAGTCTCTGGTCTTGGAGAGGCCTACAAATCAAGCACACATTTACAGCTTGAAATAATTTTGTCTGCAATCCACAACGTAGATATAAATCTCACCTCAAAGTTGACAGTGACCCTGACGGAGTTCCCCGCCCTCACCACCATGAAACTCTTCATCTTGGTGTTTGTGAACCTTGGCCTCACTAAATCAAACAAAGCAAATGCTAAACATTTAAGTGATGATTTAGATGTGTTGGTAGTCTGTGAAAATGTTATGAAGAATTAGTATTTTACCTGTTATATACAAGCTTTTGAATGACATTGGTATAGAGAAACAGATTATAATTCTGGTTGAATTGATGAAATAGTAGCTAATCTTAGTGGGACTAACTTTCAAATTAGTTTTGTAATCTTGTAACAACTCTAATCTCAAAGCAACCAAAGTAGTTCATGCAGAAATTGTTTTTACACAACTGTCATTTTGTATACATTACTGGCAGAAATACACTCTATGAAAGAGATTGAGGTAGGAAAAACCCCTCCATCATGGTGGAGGGTTTGAGGAGCTAAATTATAAATACTAGGAGCTAAACTGTCCAAAGCTTTGTGCCCCTGGTAGGGTGCCCAATGGCAAACTGGTCCTAGGTGAAGGATCAGACAAAGTGCAGCCCCTTATGATGATTACAAAAATTGGAAACAGTCTTCTCTCATCCAGATGTGGACCACCGGGGGCCCCTTCTGGAGCCAGGCCTAAAGATCGAGATGAAAATCAGATCCTCCAAGTCCGAGACGATGGTCTTGAGCCGGAAAATCTCAATACAGTGCAATAGAGCTGCACATTCCCAGAGAAATCAATGTAAATGACTGTATACTTTAGAATAACCATTTATGATGGCAGATTTCTACTTGCAAATAGGTGCCACCATGATAAGACACTAGTTCATCAATCCAGTCAAGTTAGTCTGTTTCTCCAATCTGAGGTGTTTAAAAGAGCTACCATCAACAGGTAAGAGAATACATTTTAATAACTTTTCTACAAGATCTTATTCATTTCCAAGTATTAACATACCAGGTAAAGGCACCGCAAGGACATATCTGGGTAGCTCCTCTGGTGCACTCTCTCCTCCATCATTCATAGCAATGACTCTCACCCAGTACATGCCCATCGATTTAAGGCCTTTCACATTAAACGATGTCATGATGACGGGGCTGCTGTTACAGCGAGACCATTCAAGGCAATCTGCCTGTCGAATCTCAACAAAGTATCCTTTCGCCTCATCCTGCTCGCCTGGTTTCTCCTCAGGTTTAGTCCAAGTCAGAATCATGTTGGTGTGCGATGTTTCTGTTACCTTCAGGCCCATCACTTTACCAGGAGGTTCTGGAGTGCCACGGTTATGAAAGAGATAAAACAGGTGCATCCCACACAAACAGAACAAGAGACGATGATGACGATGTTATCCTCAGTTTGTTTGTAGAATGAAAAACTGTTGGAATTCTTACTTTTAGGATCTCGTGCAAAAACAAATTCTGAAGGGTTGCTGAATTCCCCCGCTCCTGAGAGGTTGATGGCGCAAACTCTGAACTCGTACTCTATACCCTCCACAACATCCCTCACTGCACATCTCTTCTCTAGAAGCAATTTGAAAGACGGAAGCTTTATTATAATGATGCATTTGAGACGTCATCTTCAGAACAGGCATGCACGTTCTTCATACTTAAAGGTGCATTCTGGAGGCCACGGTTTAAAAAACACTTACGTTTCCTTACATTGAACCGAATAATTACACTGGCATTTCTTTATTTTACTAGACAAGAGTCAGACGCAAGCAGCAGCGTCGTGGCAGACTGATCTCTTGCTGATCTCGGTTTGCTGTGCCAAGCTCTGCCAGGCTCAGTGCTTTGATGTGGGGCTTATTGTGTTCCAAGAATGAAATAACTAAGAATAAACTGCTCCCACGCTGTGCTCTTTGCCAACCGCTTCCTGTTTGAGCACATTTGTTTGGTCGTGTGACGAGCTACTTTCTTCTTCTGTGCTTGTCCAGTAAACATGTTTGATAGCAACAGTACAATCTAGCGCAGCAGAAGGACTTGAAGCAGTCAACCAGGCAAAACTATTTTACCCAGTTACTAAATTAACAGCAATCAACTGGTTAACCGGTTAACTATGCACATCCCTATTTCAGACAAAACCAAATACCATACAAACCTGTTACTAACTCATCAGATGCATTTGCAACAGTCCAGAGATTGCTGCCCTTTTTACGTTTCTCCAAAATGTAGCCCAGGATGCGAGAACCTCCTGTTTTAGTTGGTGGAGCCCATGAAAGGGTTATGCAGTCACTGAGAGAACCGACCACCTTAGGAGGTGCTGGAGGACCTGGAAAAGCTGTGGGATGCCAAAACATTGGTAAACAATGAAGTTTAAATATCTGTTATTGTGGTGTTTTCTGTTGAAATTTGTGCTATCATTAAATGGAGAATAAAATTATTTTCAACTATGGAAACTTAGCATGTTTTTATAGTCTTCTTGTGAAAAGTACAGCTAAGTGTGTGATTTATCAGCTGTTGGCGTTATATTATCTGAAATTGTAATCTCCTTATGTAAATAACATATAGGCTGGCTTTTAATTATTAGATTTAGCCTTTTTATTTTTGTTACTGTTGGGTTATTAGCGTGCTTTACACTGCAGGCAGCCATTCACACACTGGTGGTGATGAGCTACCATGTAGCCCCTGCTACCCTGGGGCGCACTGAGAAACAAGGCTACCGAGCACAGGTGCCATCAGTCCCTCTGACCACCACCAGCTGGCAAGGAGGATGAAGTGTCCTGCCCAAGTACACAACGACTGACCCCGGCAACCCACTGTAACCAGTGGGTTGAAGTAAAAAGGTTGAGATAGTTAGAAGAGTGTTCATCATTTGTTTGGTTAACTATCAGCAATTTTTCACTTCTCATCCCAACAGAAACTTCTGGATCAATGAAATTTCAAATAAAATTAAAACTTTATCAGCCCAAGAGGGAAATTAAATGTTGTTGTAACTCATTGTTTCAAGTAACATTTGATAACAATGAAATAATAGTAACACAATGATGGCTGTGGCTCTGTATTGCAGCAGGTCTGAAGAAGCCTGCGGCTGGAGATTCTGTGTCGTAACATCTTGTGGTACAATTTAGTAACTGTAGCCACTTTAATAACTCTGGAGCTGTTTTGCCGGTCATCATCAAGCGGCAACCCCACACTCACTGATGGTAAACAGTATTTACATCCCCCCTTCCTTTGTTTTGGATGGAGAAAAACTGACAATCCCCACAGCCAGCTGGATATGAAGTATGTTTCAGTATAACCGTCCTTACAAAATTACTTTTCTCACTGTAAAATTCTCACTTTATTCTTACATACTGCACCTTTAAACCTAATAAATGCTTATGGAAGCTTTTTTATTCACAAACATTTCCTCTTGCTGTTGGCCCATACATGCCTTTTCTCTTTGACTTACCAAACTTGCCAGCTTGCATGTCATCCGTCTCCATCTCATCACTTGTTCCCTCTGACGTCACTGCTCGGATGCGGTAGCAGTATTTCCGTCCACGGTCCACATCTGTGTCACGGTAGCTGGGCACACCTGGTATTTCTCCTATTTTTTTCCAGGTGTTTCGACCCACTTGTTGACGCTCTAGTATGTAGCTTATCACAGGTGATCCACCATCATCTTTTGGAGGTCGCCACTTCAGTTCAATACATGTAGCTGAGCTCTCCATGACTTCTGCAGGACCCAGAGGGGCAGATGGCTTGTCTGAAACAAACAGATAAAGAATATTTATATATATATATATATATATATATATATATATATATATATATATATATATATATATATATATATATATATTAGGACTGGGACTTGATAAATTTTTTTAATCTAATTAATTTCAGCCTTTGTAATTAATTAATCTCAATTAATCGCATTTTAATCGTTCAGGAAAATGTGCTCTCAAAGTAAAACTTTTAATTAAAATTATGAGAGAGAATCAAACATTAGGCATGTTATTGCTGTAAACTAAAGCTATATATATATATATATATATATATATATATATATATATATATATATATACATATATATATCTATATATATATATATAGATATATATATATTCTTTATACATGTGTTTGAAAGCATCCTGTCTGCTTCAACAGAGGTAAGATGATCAAACAAAAATCATCTGTTGCTGTCATATGGCTGTTGTCATTACTTATATTGTATTTAAAGACAGATTTTTACAATTTTGACCACCATTAGTCACTCACCAAGCACAATGAGCTGTGAGATTGCCTCAGCAAATCCATGATCATTCTTTAGTTTTATCTTTATCTCTCCTGTGTCTCTCCTCTGACATCTGATCAGGAGCAGGCGGCTATGACCGGCAGATTTCTCAATCTTTATGTTGTTGTCTTCTTGGAGCTCTTCTCCATCTCTGTACCACTGAATTTTTATTGGTTTGTAGCCAACAAACTGAAGTTTGAAAATGGCGTGGTGTCCCACTTTGACTGCCAGAGGCTTGATGAAAATGTTGAGGTCTTCAGGGTCAAACCTGGGTGGATCTAAAACCAAGTGAGAGTCAGTTCAGTAATATTAAAGGGATGGTCTGCTGCTTAAATCAGAAATTCAATACACTGAAAACGACAGATAATTTGCTGCTGTGGCCCCCTGCACCTGAGATAAGTGGACTCGGTGGTCTCCTTTAAAAAGCAGCTGAAAACTGACCTGTTCAAGCTTTTGTGTGACCTTCGTCACCCCGCTGTCCTTATTCTGGTCTTTATTCCACCTTTCCCAGCGATCCACTGATTTCCCTTTTTCCTATTCATTTTCTCTATCCCCTTCCTTACATTATTATTTTCTATCACAAATTTATATATTTTTCTCAAATTTTAAACATATGTTAAAAATTTATTTTCAAATATTAGTTATACTTAAATTTTATGTTTCTGGGGAAGCGCCTCGTGATTTTGGTGTTGAGAGGTGTTATATAAAAGACAGTTTTCTTTCTTTACATTTATTGCAAGATTCAAAACATTTTCTTTTACTAAAAAAATGCCCGTACCTTTGACGATGAACCTCGCCTCTGTTTTCCGACCATCTGCTTCAAAACGATATTTCCCAGAATGCTCTTCCTCACATTTCAGGATCATTAATTTATGGACTGGTCCATCTTTGGTGATGGAGAAACTGTCATCAGGGAAAATCTGAAAGGAATTTGGGTTAACAAATCTACATCTAAATCAGAAACACTGTAAAGCATTTACTAAGCTGTAATTGAGTGTGCTTGATTAGAATCAAAGTGAACTAATTACAATTTTAGTTCAAAGATGCTAGCTTTAAAATAATTCGTTTTTTGTGTTTTATTCTTATATTGCTGAACTTTAGCTTCAGCAGAAATATGCATGTTTTTTATTATTGTCATAGATGACAGTTTTTATTAAGTCACCCTCTTGAAAAAGTTCCTTTACCGCAGCAAACAATATCAACAACATTTGCACACTTGTAAACAAGCACAGAAAAAGTGCTGAATCCATCCATCCATCTTTTGAACCCACTTTGTCCACGTAGGGTCGCGGGGGGGCTGGTGCCTATCTCCAGTAGTCAACAGGCAAATAGGCGGGGTACACCCTGGACAGAGAGCCAGTCCATCACAGGGCAACACAGAGACACACAGGACAAACAATCATGCACAAACACACTCACACCTAAGGACAATTTAGACAGACCAATTAACCTAACAGTCATGTTTTTGGACTGTGGGAGGAAGCAGAAGTACCCGGAGAGAACCCACGCATGCACAGGGAGAACATGCAAACTCCATGCAGAAAGATCCCAGGCCGGGAAGCGAACCCAGGACCTTCTTGCTGCAAGGCAACAGCTCTAACCACTGCGACACTGCGCAGCCAGTGTTGAATCCATATAATTATAACACACTGAGCGTTACACTGAAGATCCCTGTCACCTTTAGGACTCACCTTCTTGCCATCTCTGAACCAGGTTCCCTCACAGTCCTCACTGCTGAGTTTACATGTCAACTCAGCTGGCTCATGGATAATGGCATCCACGTCAGACAAACCACTGATGAAATGAACCCCCGGATCTAAAAACAGACAGTTTATGAATAAAACGACTTGGTACTTAGTTTAATGCACCAGTATAGCTGTTACAATATTATTTTGTTTGCAAGTCTTATTTAATAATTTTAAAGCAGTAATTGGGCATACTACCAACAAAAGGTACAGAACACTATCAATCATTAAAATAAAAAAAAGATCTTAAAGGTAGATAAGTTGTGATTTAAAAATATGTAAATTTATTCATTTTCATTTATACATACAGTATTCTATATAGTAGCAGACAGGCATTTGTTTAGTGCTCTTCACCCAATCTAATCTTTATTCTAAAAATCCTATAAGTGACAAAACCCAAGTCTGGTACAGATTGTCACGATGTGGTGTGGGTGGAGGTGGACCCATGTGTGGTGGAGCAGAACCAGGAGGCAGAAATGCAGCGCCGGTAGCATAAAACAGATTTAATGAATGATGGTAGGTGGGATGATACAAGATGAGCAACGTAACGGGGTGGAAACCAGCAATGACCCAACAAGGGACAAGAGCAAACAGGGAGTATAAATACACAAGGAACAATCAGGAACACATGGGCAGGATAACAAGGGGCAGGTGAGTCCAATAAACATCTAATCAGGGGCAGATGAGACCAAGAGTCAGAGGGGTAGGAGCAGATCCTGACACCGATTAAAGTCTCATTTTTAACCATTGCTCAATAAGCTTCCAAAATGTTGTATGTGTTTCAGAAACTGCTTACTCACCAATTACAGAGTCTGTTATCAGGGGGATGTGTCTTTTACGTCGTGTTTGAGTTGATGAGTCATTCATGTCTTCAGTCACATCACACTCACTGTGGCTTTCATGACACAGATGTTTGCCTTTTGAGATTACAAATGCACCATTTCACTAAAACAAATCTTATACAAGCACACATATCTGAGACAACTCTTGTAAACAATAACAAAGTTGTTTGTTGTGTGTATTAACCTAAAATAAAAATAAAAGATTATTTCAGACAAAACTAAGTTATTGCTATTGCTGTTTTTAAACCTTTATTATAACTTCGCCCAAACTTAAATGTAACTGTCCCTGTATGAGAGTTGTGGGATCAGGTTGCTTTATGGCACATACCACTGTCATATATGTGTTTAATCCAGATAAGACTGGTTCTTACCACTCGCTGGTTCCTTCGACTCTTTGCATTGCTTTGAACTACTTTGTTGTTCCCTCGGTTCGGCAGAGTCCTTGATGTCATCAGTGTCACCTGACTCATCCTCACTTACTTGTTCATTTTGTTCTGTGTCAGATCACAGTTACGTTTACATGAAACCTTTCAATATTTCCAGCTTTAAATTTTTATAATCAAGAAATATACCTATTATTGCCAAAATCTTCCAGAATCTAACTGAACCCATAAAGAGTTCAAACTGGTGAGCTGAGGTAAAGAACCAATCTGACTGAGAACATTGGTGAGTGGCAGTTTGCTAGTCCTTACAGATCATTGGCATGCATCAAGCAGAGAAAACAAGGAGATTGCAGAAATGACTAAAATTGGGTTAAGAACTGTCCAATGCATTATTAAAAACTGGTCTGATAAGTCCTGGTGGACCCTGTTCCAGAGTGATGGTGCATCAGGGTAAGAAGAGAGGCAGATGAAGTGATGCACCCATCATGACTAGTGCCTACTGTACACGCCTGTGGGGGCAGTGCTATGATCTGGGGTTGCTGCAGTTGGTCAGGTCTAGGCTCAGCAACAGAATGTGCTCCAAGAATGAGGTCAGCTGACTACCTGAATATACTGAATGACCAGGTTATTCCATCTTTTCTGATGACACGGGCGTATTCCAAGATGACAAAACCAGGATTCACCGGGCTCAGATAGTGAAAGTGTGGTTCATGGAGCATGAATCATCATTTTCACACAAAGATTGTCCACCACAGAGTCCAGACCTTAACCCTATTGACAATCTTTGGGGTGTGCTGGAGAAGGCTTTGTGCAGCGGTCAGACTCTACAGTCATCAATGCAAGACCTTGGTGAAACATCAATGCAACACTGGATGGAAATAAATTTGGTGACATAGCAGAAGCTTATCAAGCAATGCCACAGTGAATGTGTGTCGTAATCGAAGCTAAAGGCGGTCCAACATAATTTTCAAGTTTGCGACCTTTATTTTGGGGGGTGGCAAACTTTTTCTGTGGCTGGTAGATCATTATTCTAATAAAATTCAGAGAAACTCCCACAAAGCCACATTATCATCCTTGTTCATGTTATTTCAATCAGCCATGTTGTAGTGGGTCATAAAGTTGACCAGGGACTGCTTCATGAATCTCACCCATCTGTTGACCAACGAGTGTACATCTCAGTCTATGGGTTTATTTCTTACCTAGAGTAAGTCTTTTCCAATGGACTTTTTTAGATTTCCTTTGGGTTCTCACATTCTTTGTAAGGTCCTCATCTTTGCTAGACTCATGTTGACTTGTGGTAGGGAGTTGATGCTGGTCTCCATCATCTTCATCATCATCTTCATCACTGAACTCTGGAAAGACATGACCCACGATCACAACATTTCAGACAGCATTACCACGTGAGTATTTTGATATTGTTTCTTACCAAATTCACTGATGTTTGAACCTTTATATTCTAACTCTCCACAACAAGTGATATTGTGTTTGTTTTAGTCTTTTACAAAGTCTAGGGCTCACTATTGTGGTAGAAATTTGTACACTTTACCTTCTACCTTGTTGAAATCTTTGCAAATATTTATAGGTTTTTTGTTCTTGCTTCCTCCTTCTTTTGGTTTCTTTCCATCTTCTGCTGTGCTCTCCAAGTCATCCAACGTTCTCTCTTTGTGGCCTTCTAAGATTTTGCTTGGTCTTCTATTTTCATTCAAGTCTTCACCACTTCTTAAAACCTTTTCTTCCTTCAGTTTTCCAGCAGCTTGTTTTGCTTTCACAGCCTTTAAGATCTTTTCCATTTCCTGTTGGTTTTTTATTTGCTGCTCTTTGGCCACTGTTTCCAAGTCAGTTTCAGCTCCACTAGCCAGTGCAGATTTACGTACTGTCTTCTTACCAACAGAAGAGTTTTTCTGAGCTACAAGCATACCAAGTTCAAGAAAATGAACTTTGGGAATAACAATTACCAAAATACAGATGGATATAAGAGATTACCTTCTACCACCAGCCAGGCACTACAGGAAGTGATGCCAGCAATGGCCGAATAAATCCCTTTATCCATTTTGTTGCAGTCTTTGATCAACAGCCTGTGAATCAGTTTTTCTCCTGATACAGTTATATTGTACTTCTCTCCATCTTCTAGAACGATACCCTTTTTCATCCAAGTTATTGTAGAAAGGGGGTGTGTCAGAACACACTCAAAGAGGGCGTGATCTTTCTCTTCAGCAGTAATCTCTTGAATTCTGATCACAAAACCTACATTGGAAACTAAAGAAAAAGAAACTCATTAAGTCATAAAATAATTTGACTTTATTTATTTTCTTTGAATGTATGGACACAGAGAAAGTGAGACATTTCAGAAAGTTGAGGAGGATTTGTTATAGAATCAATGTTTTAGCAGAAGCCAAGTTATAGGCTATATGTGAACATATAATCTGGCCACGACCCAGGGAGAGAGCTCAGTCGTCAGGCTTGTTCTATAGTTGTCTTTTAAACTATCGCTGCTCATATTTGGACAGTGCTAGGACCAATCAAAGAAACAAAAAACATCACATAGTCACCAGTACTGAAATCAGTCAGCAGGGTAGTATGCTATACACCATCAAAGAGGAAGTAGAAGCAAATAAGTCCTTTTTTTGTAATGAAGTACTTAAGTACCTCTATCTGCCCAGGTCTCAAAGATAATCCCAAGTCTAAATCTTACGAATAAGAAGCGAGGCTTCCAGTTGTGATCACAAAAGTAGGGAAAGGGTCTTAAGATGTAATGCATTTTTCAGCCCCTTGGTGGAACTCTCTGAGAGAAAATCCAGATTTACCGTAAATCCTCTAATACAGGCCTGTATTCAATTAACGGCCGGGTCTCATATTTTGGCCAGTGTCGGAGTAGGTGGAGGTGAATAATGGCCGGTCTCTTATTGTGGCCGAGTGGAATGTGGTAACAAGCAAGTACGAGGGCGGTTGTGTCATCGTCTCACTTTTGATTTGCCAGTGATAGACCACGAGGGTAACTTTAACCGTGCGGAGATGAAGAGGAGGTGAAAATTTGATATCAAGTTCAAAGAGAACGTGCGCTACTGGGGAGCAGTAGGGGTTGTATGAACTAGTCGACTTCACTATAGTGACTTTTTATGCCTGTCATCGACTAGTCGCTGTCACGTGATAATGACCGGCAAGATGCAACCTGCTATCAGCAGGTGACAAGCTCCTGCGCTCAGGGGGGCAACGCGCTGTGCCAGAGCTTCGGTACTGACACGCGATCGTTCATGTCCGTTCATTTTCTTTAATGTTTTCTGTCTTTTAATTGTGCCTGATGTGTTTCACTGCTGTGGAGCAGGGCGCATCACCTTGTCCTCCGGTGACGCACCGATCACTGATGTGGCGGGCAAGCAGCGAGCACTCTGCTGTTTTTGCGGTCGGTAGATCTGCGTCCTGAGCACGGCCACAGTAACATTATCAAATCAGGTGTCGCCACCTCAAAAACTAATTTAACACGCGATCGTTCATGTCGGTTCATTTCCTTTAATGTTTTCTGTCTTTTATTTGCGCCCGATGCGTTTCACTGTGGAGCGAGGCGTATCACCTTGTCATCCAGTGACGCACCGATCACTGATGTGGCCGGCAAGCACTCCGCTGTTTTAGTGGTCGGTAGATCTTTTAGAACTGCAGTTCAAAGGTAACTCATAAGGTGAATATATATGAACCCAGGTAGCAGTTTCTCTTTAGGATTGAGAGGAGATGCAGGAAGATAATAAACAGGCAGGACAGAAAAATAGTCAAATAAAAACAACTTAGTTTTTGTACCTGGTTGCTACAAACAGACACCATTGAAGGTAATCAGAAGTGAGGAACAGAAAATGAAATAATTATTTTAATGTTTAAAGCAGCAGGAACTCCGAGAGGCTGCAGGCGCATCAGTGAGTTTGCAGCCGCTGTGCAGGGGGAGGGGGGAGATGACTGAAGCAGAAACTACCATTGTTAAAAGAAATGTGTTTAACTTTGAAAATGTGAGCGCAATTTTAATTGTCAAAAACTCCAGCGAACCATTAGTTCATTTTGCTCAAATAGAAATAGAGGCCTGACTAATTCTGGCCCTCCTTCCAATAAAGGCCTGGAGCTTGATGAGCTTGAGTCAAATACAGGCCTGTATTAGAGGATTTACGGTATTAGTCTGTTACAACAACATTCCTTTTGCCAGTGAAAGAGAGACATACGATTGTTTTGGTTACCTTGTATAAGAGGCACACAAAATAATGTTCTGAAGAACATCATTCTTCTTCCAGCTCTTGGAGAGTACAGACACTTTTTTCCTCCTCTCCTCCCTATCTTATCCCAAGGCTCTTTGTCTGTCTCTGGGTGTAAGGCGCTTCTGCATTATTTCTGGAAAACTGGAAACTGGAAATTACTAACATGGACCGGGTCAGTTGGTCTCTCAGCGCCATTGACAACATTTTTTCAACGATGAGAATGGGAGAAGGGGCTCCGGGGTGTCCCTCTGGGACAGAGCCAGCTGGTCATATCATGGACTCCTGGAAACAGTGGAACTTGGTCTGCCCGTCTCAGCTGTCTGTAGAGGATTCTGAAGATGTTTGGATATTCGTAGTGTTGGTGTCAGGTTTCCTGCTCTTTGGCCTGGGAGGTTACCTGGCTTACCGGAAAATTAACAAGCTGTCGAGGAATATTGGCTCGCTCCCGGAGCTCAGAGATGGATTACACCGTGCTGTAAATGCACAAACTCATATAATTGTCGAGATGAGTCGTAAGCTTGGAACTTTGGCTGAGATTCAGATTCTGGCACAGAAGATGGATTCGATCAAGGAGAAAGTTGACGGGTCAGCGCGGATTGGGATAGATTAATAACGCCATTATTGGATTCAGAGGGGTTGAGGACCAACGGAACTTTAAAACAGAGGAAATTATCTCTGTCTGGCCCCAAAACTATTTCTTATCTGAATCTGGTGCCCTTGAGCCTGTAAGGCTGAAGCAAATACTCCCCCTCAGAAGAAATGTGGAATGCTGCTGTCGCCATGGCAACTCTGTCTCCCTTTCCCTACCTGGGCGGGACTGTGACCGGAGAAGGCCGCTGAATCGTTCCAGGAATCACTGTGCTCTTTAAATCCTACGACCTCCTCCCCCGTCCAAATGGAGGTGACGAGCGCCGCTTGTCGTGGCTGCATGCACTGACGTGCGGAGAGTCCCCAATCCTACCTCCCCACCTAGTGGACACTTATGTTGTGTGATGTCTGAAGTCTGTTGCATATCTGTCTGAGGTGTTTTTTGCATAGCAAAGCTGCCCTCCCTGTGAGGGTAACTCTGAAGTGCCTTTTTTCCCTCCACCTGAGCCAATCCTCATGTAAACCCTCTGATATCTATTAAGGTAGCGTGACTCGGGTTGCGAATGACCACAGTCACCAATTCTTGTCATGTGTCTATGCCTATGTATGTCTGATCTCAGAATTGTGTTTACTGAAACTGCAATTTCCTCCTGGGATTAATAAAGTATCTTAGAATGAAATTGAATTTAGTACTTGTTTTGTTTATCATACAGGGAAATGTAGGGAAATGTAGATTTTTGTGTCTCTTAATAATTGTGTTTGTATCATCAGTTTTTATTTGACTTTTTTTTATTTATAAAAATTTTTTTTGAGTCAGGGATGGTTTATGGATAGGGACCAAATTACAAGTAACTTGTACCATGTTTTGTAACTTGTTACATGTATTGTAACTATAACTTTTGTTTTGTAGCATATAATTCACATTTTGTAACATGTAACATTAGGTACTGTAACATGAACCTTTCATTCTGTAACTTGCAGAAGAAATCAATGTACAAGTTTCAATTCACAACTCTGAAAACACATCTCAGTCTACAGTTACAAAGCTTAATTTTATAGTTGCAAAATCTAAATCTATCTGTTACAAAACATTCTGTCCCATTCTAGCTTCCTTTCCCAAAGAACCAATGACAGGCTTTGTTTGACCAGCCATTCATGAGCCTTGGATTCCTGTCCAATCATGGCAAGAGGGCAGAGGTCTGTTGTATTGCTCACAACCAAACTTGCTTACATTGCAACTCTTTATCAGTGGGTGGCAGTCATTTTTAGAGATATTAAACTGATGTAAATAAAGAACTTACATTTTGAATAAGAGCAAGATTTAATATCCGAGACACATAATTGACAAAACCCGTCATTGGTACTTTCGGAGGTAAGATAGAATTGAGACAAAATGTTTTGTACGCACAGACTTGCGTCTTTGAACTGTATACTGAGATGTGTATTTTCAGAGTTGTGGTTTGAAACTTGTACATAGATTTTTTTCAAGTTTCATGTTATGTACCTACCGAACATCACATGTTGCAAAACAAGAATTACATGCTACAAAAAAAAAGTTGTGTGTTACAAAAGGTGGATTTAATGCGACAAAAAAGTTACATGTTACACAATGAGAAAAAATGAGTTACAAAAAGAAAGTTACGTATTACAAAACATGAATTATGTGTTACAAAAATAAGTTATAGTTGCAAAACCTATTATAAGTTACAAAACTTGATGTAAGTTTCATGTAATATTGTCCCAATACTAGCTCCATAGTTTATTTTATGGCATGCACCCAAACTGAACTGAATATTCTTAAGCTCTGAATTGTTTTAGATGACAAATTACAGTAAATGTTTCCTGCTCTGAGTTGATGGTTGACTTTTGTGTTGCCTTTGTGTTTTAGCATTTCATTCATGGATCTGAATTTTGTTTTTACAAGGGCAGAAAATGAAGTTTTTATTTAAGCGTTATCTTGCAAAATTGGTGATTAGATCAAAGAAGACTTTTAGAATTTTAAAACTCACGTTTGAACTCTTTTGGAAGTAGATCCTCCTTAGGACCTGCTTCTTTTAGCTGTTTGTTGTGAAGGTTGATCTCTCCAACGTCCGCCATGTGCAGGCCCGAGTCATTTTGCAGCACGTTGTTGATTCTGACTGCATTTGTCCTTCCAGACCTTCTGATGCCACTTTTCTCTGAGTCATCATCACAGCAATCATCCTCATCCTTTTCAAGGTACAGAGATAGAATACTTAACAAAAAACACAATGTTAAAGTGACAATATGTAGTTTTCACCATTAATCTCTGGAAATATCCTTCGAAATGTTGTTAAAACTGAATTAAAAGATGCCCAGTTGATGAAAATATTGGCAGTTTCACAACAAATAACCATAAAAATTTGCTCTAAAATACACGAGAGCGGGTTTAAGTGGGTGACGCCATAATGGATGCCATGTTTCCTTCTACAGAAGCCCTTGAGGACAAAATGCATTTACTGATGTGCATCTAAACATGTGAATTATTCTTTTAAAACATGTCTATTGAGCTTTTACTTTTAACAGTTTGTTAAAGCTTTCTGTGCCCTGCACTAATCAAGTGCTTTAGGAATAAAATGAAATTAAAACAGTATTCATTTTTAAAGCTACATCAGATGAAGCTGAGAATACTGCATCTTGTTGGAGAGCTTTCAGTTTTCCAACCTCATAGTTCTGTCCTCTTGCTTTCCTTTTATCTTCAAGCTTTTTGAGAATCAGGTGTAGGTCTGAAACGTCGTATTCAGAGCAGATGCGCTCGTAGTCTTTTCTGTCAGCATTCAGCATCGCATCCCAGAACCTTTCATCGTTCTCTCCATCTGCTTTCTCCAGTTTACTGCAGTGGTGAGCAAATTACAAATATGTAATTAATTAATTAAAAGCAAAAATGGTTTAATACCTCTGTAGAAATATGTGCTTTTCTTATCTTGGTTTCATAATTGGCTTACCTTTTCTTCAGCAATTTTCTGAAATCTTCAGGGTTTGTTGAGCCTAGAAACAAAAATCTGTTTAGCTTGTTTAGCTAGTTAAGAGCTTATTCAGATAAAGAGAGAATCCCAGAATGAAGTCTTACCATCAACTACAGTTAGGGTTGTGGAGCAGACAGCTTTTCCATATTCATTCACTGCACAGCATTTGTATGTATCTGCCTCAGCTGCAGTAACATTCCGAATCTGAAAACACATAAAAATGTATTTACAGTGTTTTTAGTTTTTTTATTATTTTTGTTTACAACAACGTGTTGTAATAAATGATGTGATCCTGTTATTGTTGACCAGTCGCTGACCTCTAATATATATTCCCCGGTTGATTCCTTGCACTTTCTGAGGAATTTTTCCTTGTCTGAAAGGTTTCCTTTTGCTCGTTTCCATGTAACATCTGGTTTAGGAGATCCTGTCACCACAGCCTTGAAAACTACTGGTTTTCCTAAATCAATCAATCAATAAATTATATTAATTTCCATGGTTTTCAACATGACACAAGCCCTTTCTTTTCATGCTAGAGCTGCGTGTCTGTGCAGCTTCCTAAGTGATAATCTAAACAAACCCACCTTCCTGGACAGTAACTGGTATCGGTTTGCACTGGAAGTCTGGCGTGCTTTTGCCTTCGGGTAAATTTACTATACTTTGAGTGATCATCACTCCTGGAGTCTTTGATCGTCTCCGGATGACAGCTAGGTAAAATCAGAAAGAAATGAGTGTTACTTTTGAAACCAAACTATGTTGTTTACATAGGAGAGAAAAATGTTCTATTTTCTTCCAGCAGGTGTCAGCAAAGTCCCAGCTGTGCTGTGTGGGTCGACCATCGACATACATATACTGGACAATGGGTTCCCAAAGCCTCCAATAACACATTTTTGTGCTAAAATGGGAGGTGGTCACCACCGCCATTTTGACCGTGTCACTAGCCCAGACAATTCCATAAAAGGGAAGAGAGGAGGAGCTGAGGGTGGGGCTGTAAGGCTGGGATCAACTGACGACACCCGGTCGATCTAGCTACAAGCTAACCTGAAGCTAACCCAAAGCTAATACGGAGGTGGAAGCTAAGCTAACGAAGGTAGCAACCTAGCTACAACCGGAGTTAACTGTGCACAACACCAGAGCTTCTGAGTCAGAGATAAGCCGGGCTGACCGCTGGGTAGAACCGGGTGGAACACATAGGTCTCCGAGAGCTCCACAAGCCAGCAGCCGCACAGCAGACAAGCGCTGCTGCGATCTGAGATGCGCAGAGCTGCCGCTGGGGAGAACCGGATGGAAAGTTTCCATCCTAGAGCTCCACAAGCCGTCAGCCCGCGCAGCACACAGAAGCCGCGCGATCAGACAGAGATGCGCCGAGCTGCGGGGAGGGGAGAAACGGGTGGAAAACATCGGTCTCCCGAGAGCTCCACAAGCCGATAGTCAGAACCCAGCTCCACCAACATGATATATTTCAACCCATTTTCTAAAGTGCAGCATTATGTTAAATGCACTGGGTTTTACCCTATTACATTTAAATTTCATGGTTAAACAGTACATGTTAAAATCTAAGCTCAGCTCGGCAGTGACCTAAAATACATAAATATAATTTTACTTACTGAAAAAAATGAAGTGGAGACTCATTGGACGCTCTATTAGTGCAATTAATGCCACAACAAGTCATTTTGTCCAACAATTGCACAAAAAATTTCCAAAAGAATTCACAAACACAGAAACTCAAAATCCCGGAGCAGTTTCCAAGCCAGACCGAGGCTCTACTGAGGCCTTTCCACGGAGCTAGCTCTGTGGTCACATGGGTCGGATGCTCATTAATTATACAGAATTTTAGGCTTTTAATACACTTAAACAGAAGAGTGAGAAAAACATTCACCCCCCTCAGAGTTGTCATGAGTGTAAACTAGATAATTTAAACCAAAAACATGTTTTGGTACCAGGCTGTAAACATGTTTATTTCTGCTGTGAAATTGGTATTTTTAACATGGGAGTCAATGAGGATTTGGTCGCTTCTGACACCAGCCCCTAGTGGATGAGGGTGGAACTGTAATTTTTGGTATTTCCGGGTTGAGACCAATTTTAGAGCCGCATTGTGGGGGCTTGGGGTCGACATGTAGAATGGAGGAAAACAACCATTTTCCTGGGTTTTAAATGCTCAGACAGCAGTATGCTTGATTTGTTTTAAAAGCTAATTAAAACAAACAGTATAACTGATTTCAGAAATTTCAGGAAATGTAAGAAAACAATTGTTTATTTGTTCAACTGTTGTTTTAACCACTTACAGTTATTTGAAATACTAATGCAGAGTTTTGAATAAACCTTTGGACTTTTGGAGGAAATCAGAGAAAACCCATACAGGCATGAAGAGAAAATATTTTGATGTGAAAGTTCTCAGGACATCCATTTGTTACAGTGCAGCAGTTAAGGTAGACTTCACAAAATAACTCAAGTCACTTCTCACCTCCCTGCCCAATCAGAACCATTTATAATTAATCAAATACAACATTGATTTGTTCATCTTTTAAGCTTCAGATTTTATTTGTCATTTTTACCTGTGTCCTGTCCGGCTGTAAAGCAATCAGAACTGATGTCTGAGTGCAAAAGACAAGCCTTAGAGTTTTACTCTTACAGGTGGAGCAGTATGACTTCAGCTGTATTGCCTGATACCAAAACTTTATTAGAAACATTTTTGGTTGTTTTGAAGCCCAATGGACATAGAAATGAAAGAGAAAGGAAGGAGAGGAAAGGAAGAGGTGGGAAAAAGGTTCACAAGAATAAACACTTAGGAATGAACAAGAATCCGCTTAGACCTGCAGAAAAAGAGACAAAAAGGAGGGCACACAACAATACTACAAAACCAAAATATCCCTGCACCAACCACATGAGGACACATAACAGTAACAATTTTTGCTGAAAAGCACACAGTAATATTTAATTGTGCATTTAGTGTCAACCACAGCCCTAGGTTATGTGTTAAAAATATCCAAGTCCATACTTGTAAGAGCACCGTGTGTATGTGTGTGTACACATGCTTGTGTTAGTAAGTGGTCAATAGTGAGTATGAGAGGCCACAGACCTGCCCCCAAAGACCCGCAGAAGATGGAGGAGTTCCTATCCCCAGAGATCCCCAGAGATCCAGAGGTCTCCCCCAGAGCAAACACCAGAATGACTGCCTCTGGAGAAGACTCAGCCCTCCTCCCGGTTGGCACAGAGGACCAACCAGCTGCTGCGCTGGAGGCCCAGGAGATAATAACAGCAAGCCCCCAGGTCCTCCCGCAGCCACCCACTCTAGAGCAGGCAGAGCTCAGAACTCACTATTTATGACTTTTTATTGCACTTTGCAAAAGCATAAATTGTCAGTGTTCAGAGATGAGAATGAAGCAGATGTTATATGTCAACACGCTAAAACATAACTAGACAAAACATCCACCAGAAGCATTAAGGACTGTTCAGCTCTGCTGGTCTGTGAAATGATCTTATAAGACTGAACTGCCTTTCTGTTTATATCATAATAATCATTAATACCTGGATTAATGATTATTATGACAAGAGTAGAACCACTCTGTTTTGTCACTGCTTTGTCAATATGACAAACACAACCAACTCACAGACAGACAGTGTTGGTCAGCGTGTTAATGGTTATGTCTCAGCTCTAACAGAAAATACAACACTCTCATTTTACCTGACTTGTTTCCTGACACCTCATTAAAATGCAGAATGTACTGATGAACAAGGGAGAAACCTAGATTTGAGAGAAAAAGGATGAGATTTCAGTAGAAATATACAGTAATGTGTTTCAAGCAGCCATGGTGTCAATGTTAACTCCTCATCATCAGGACCCATCGAATGGTTCCTTATGTCAGATGTAATTTTATTCCTAGAAAATCAGACATTTATGTAACATTTTAAATATTTTAGTGCATCCACCATACCGTCTGATATTTCTTCTGTATGATGCTTTTAATGTTTTCTGTCTAAAATGTAATTTAATCACAACCAGTTTTTAGAGAACATTGATAAGTAGACAACATTTAAGTCACCTATCTTAGTAAGGATGGAAAAATGATCTCTTTTTATTTTTCAGAGAAGAGGGAGCAGAAGGAGAAGATGAATTTACATTTATAATCCAAGTTTCTTAGTAAAACACTTCCTTTGGGTTCTTTATGTATATCTCTATACCTAATATGGTAGTTTTTTCACAGCATTTTATTTATATTTTAAAATGTTGTAAATCTAGCTGAATCTTTTTTTACTTTTAGGTTTTCATGTATTTTTCTTAAACTTTTTTCCCTATTGCTCTTTATTTTTATTAATCTTTCTTGATGTGAATGTGACACCAAAAGTTCCCCACTGTGGGATCATAAAGGGATATTCTATTCTATTCTATTCTATTCTATAAAAAATAAAACAATGAAGCATTTGTGTTCAGAAAAGGGGGAACTGGTTATAACTGTTTATCTAGCTAATAATACAATTTTAACTTAATTTATATAACAGTGCTGAATACAGTTGTTGAGGGGGGCTGAACCCAGCCAGCTTAATTGACTTTAAATTGATAGGAGGTGAATTGCTGCCCTCCAGTGGTTAAGATCTGGATTCACTCTTTAGTTATGGCACACACCATTAAGTAGATGACGTTAGCTTCTTTATCTCGATGAGGCTAAAAATAATACTAGGAGATATTTAAATAAAGGTGGAATAGTAGAAGGCAGGGGGTGGGGTTAGTTTATAATCTTAAAATAGTTTCTTATTCGAAATCCTCCCTTTAAGTTCTTTCCAAATAAAACATTGCAGCACGTTGGTATTAAGCAACAGAAAAATTGGTCCCAACAGTCATTTTCTTTTTGTATTAAGCTACAATTTAAACAGAATTTGTTTAACAGTACTAGAAATAATGGTTGTGTGGACTCAAAGTGCTAAAGCTAGAGTATTGATTGGCTTTATATGAACTAGGAGCTAAAGCTTGACTTATTGTGCAGAAATCTGGGGAGCAACATACAAAAACTATACACAACCCTTATTTATTTTACAGAAAAGAGCTCTGAGAATCATAAATTATAAAAAGAAAAAAATATATATCTGCCCTCTAGTGGTGAAAAGCTGGAACTATAATTTAGTTAGGGATAGGTTTAACCCTAAACATTAAGAGTACCATCTAAGACTTTTCTGGAATATTATTTGCCATTTCGTCTGAAAATTTCTTCACGTGCCGATGGCAACCAATAAACAACAAAAAAAGTTTAGTTGGTTCTGAAACATACATTGCTGTAAACTCATTATCCAATCCAGCGCTAGGGTTGAATGCTTTCAAACTAGCCGTTAGCTCATCACTCCTGTAGAATATTAGCTGTATTTCTGAGCAGAGGCGGGAAGCTAACAGCATGGGCAAGACTGTGGCTATCGAAGTTTCTATGCAGTCACTCTCTCCAAAACAACTTAAACATCACTCTAAAATAATATCCTCTCAGTGTTGCAGTAGAGCTAAAATACAATTCAGTCATTTACTATAAAATTTACTTTCTTTGAAGAAAATGAATCTATCTTCACACAATCCCAGAAGAAAAAGACTGAAACATTAAACAAAGTACTGTCTCAGGTGTGCTTTACAGAAACCTGCTAATTGCTAGCTAACTAATTTTCTGAAAGATTATTCAGCACAATATTAGAAAAGAACGAATAAGTGCTGTACATGATCTGGAGGAAGGCTGGCTCGCGTTCTTTGATCTTTTCCACATCTTGACAATAGTTGACTGAATACAATTGATCTGCAAGCGGAAAGAAAACACAGAATGTTAGAGCTAAAGGAAAATGAACACAATGCTAGTTACCATGTTGTAGCGTGGTTAATCTACATACTAGGATTTAACGCTATCAGCTTTGTTAGATCCTGAGAAAGATCAGACAAATTAGCATATGAAGCTTATATCATATATAAATATCCAGGATATTTATATAATCGATAGAAGTTCATACATAAACCTGCTTGGTCTATATTTAATCCAAAGATTAATATTTAATTTAAGAGATTTAAATTAATAGCAAAAGTTTATTTATTAAACAGAAGACTTAATGGAATCTTATTCAATAACCAAAATAAAGACCATTCTGTTTCATTTCAAAGAAGAGTCAGGTTTAAAAAGTTAAGAATTTATTACTAACAATTTAAAGATGACAATTTGAAAATGACAATTTAAAAATGACAGTTTGTAACGGCTTTGATATTAAACTTGGTATAAAAAGCAACCCTGTGTCTGGATGGAAGCTAATATGAAATGCGATGTTTGGATGCGTGGATGAATCTCAGAAGATTTCTTTCAGAGAGAGAAACGTGTTCTGGGTAGAAAGTTGATTTGCAGCTAACTGAGTTGTTTCTAAGAGATAACAGCATACAGACGCCATCTGTCGGAAAGTGTCTACCTCACCCAGTTCAGGAGACACTCTGTTGGATCCGAGCTGTCATGTGGAGATGATGTCCTCCGGGCATAAGGTTGGTAGAAGGACCTCGGTGCGACTCAAAACGGTCCTGAGATGTCTCCGTGGGTCACAACGACTGATGAAACTATTTTCGTCTCAAAATCAATAACTCTGAAGGAGTTTTTGCGTCAGCTGGTTACAGGCGTTTGTTCGGAGCAATTCTATCGGCATGACAGAACAGCTTAGTAGAGGCTTAGGCGGCCGACCTCGTCCTCTGGGATAACTCTCGTCACCACTGAGAGTATCTGGTTGGTTCAAGAACTGAAGTTCAGCTGCGGAGATTTGGTTTTAACAAAACCTCAGAACACGCCCTCTCAGAGATAGAAAGCTTAATGTTATGGAGTAAAGACATGTGAGTAGTTTAACTTTACTCTGGATCAGCCCCTCTGCATGTGTACACCTGCCAATGACCTTCTGGTTGATGATCACACATTACTGATCATCATAAATAATTATTATTATTAACCAAAGAATAATAAGTCATTTCAGTAATTAACTACATTTATACTGGACCATGATAATTATTCATGATGATTATAATAAACAGTAAAACAGTTTATTAAACTAATATTTTAAAAGTATTTTAAAATCTTTAAGTGTCCTTCATCTTGGGACGGAACAGCAGACAGATTAAAGATGGTGTTTAGCAGACTTCATGTCTGCTGTGATGGATAGTCTGTGGGACAAAGTACAGAACGACCCAGCTCGACCCAGCTGGGGAAGTGTGACCTTTGGGTCACAAATATGAGGCCATTCATGACGCTACAATGTCAAATGGTTGATTGCGCTTTATTTTATTTTCCTTAGATGTAAATGCCAACATAACTTGGGAGATTTCAGGTATTTCTCTCTAAACTTGTGTCACCAATAATAGGCAACACTATTTGTGAAGTAGTGAATTAGATGTTTTCCAATGACTACCATTTTGTGTCCACACAAATGGGACCATGCAATTCCCCAAATCTGGCCCCGTTTTGTGTTCTCAGTCGGCTTCCCATTTGCATCTCCTTCAGCACAGAGATTACAACAGCAGATAAAAGTTAGTCTAGTCTTTTAAAGCATTGATGATTTATCTAAACATTTTTTTTGTGAAAGAATCCGTAGCCCCATCCAACCATGGCTTTGAAACACAAGCCCCCTGATCGTGCATTGATAAATCTGTAGAGCTGTCGATGGAGCTTAGATTAATGAATGCCCTCAGATCTGCCTTTTTGTCAGTTTCTCCCTGAATCCACAGCCTCACATTTTATCATCTAAACTATGAACTTAATTGATTTTGTCCTATTTGTATGCCTACATGTTCTTTTGGCAGAGTTACCTTCATAGCCCAAGTGACAAGATGTTCCTGATTAAACCAAGATCACAGTTTTTCCCATCTGTAGTTGAGTTTCTGTTGGCATTCTGCTACTTTTGGTAGGAGCACAGATGCAGAAGCTGAGGCTCATGAACCCATCACCCTTTCCACTTTCTTACAACCCTTTTAAATGTGTATTAATGCCTTTAGGTTATTTATTTATTCTAAGCCAACCTGACTCACCTCTCAGACTCCGTTTGTAAAAGCCACACATACCTAGAGCGTCCGAGTTTGTCCAGATGAGTAAAAGTGTTTGTTTTCCTCCTTCCTCAAGAAAGTAGATGTTCAGGCTTTCTTTGGTGAGATGGTTCGATGCTGAATGTGAGTGGGTTATTAAGGAGAAGGAAATGAGTGGGAGGGGAGAGGGCTGTCTCTGTGTGATGTAAGACAAGATGAATAGCAAGAACAAGAGGGGAACAGATAAGTCAGAAGGTTGGTCTCTCACTGCAGTAATTACTGATGACAACATACTCATCATTCACAGAATTACTGCCAGCAAAAACACTTGGTGGGCTCATTTCTGTTGTCTGGTCTTTAATTCACACTCACTCACACACACACACACACACACACACACACACACACACACACACACACACACACACACACACACACACACACACACAGGAACAGGACTTGTGTTATGTTGGTCTGCTGGTTTGTGGCTCTAAAAGGATCGGACTAACGTGTAGAGTACAACTGCTACATGATTGGCTAATCTAAAACAAGACTGAAGGTAACTTTTAACAAAGGATCATTGGTGAAAGAAATGTGCACTTTGTGGGAAAAAAAAATCAAACATTCTTAGAGTTTTCATGACATAACTGTTTTTCTTATTCATTGTTTTCCATAACTTTGTGTTTTGATTGAACCAGGCGGTTGCCCGGCTACCAGAGGACATCACATGTTCTTAACAAGTCCCTAATCCTCTTGACTGCGGTTGCTTCTTGTGTTACGATTCATTACATAATCAAGGTTGTGGCATTTGTGAGTTGTGAGCTCTTCCGCACATGTTTTTGATTCAGTTATGTCTTTGGAATGAGAAGATCAAATGAAGAACAAGGTAATAGTGATAAGGTCGGGACATCAAAATGTCCAATGCATCTGTCACATTAGGGTCCCGTCTCTGCAAGTAACAAAAATTCATTGCTGACTTAAACATACTGTTTTTGCAGCTGATGATAAAATGTACCTACGGAAAGTAGCTATAACCATTGTCTTGTTTTCCCTCCGTAGGATAGTAATGCATTAACAACATGTCTATACAGATAACATTACTTATTGTGGGTACGAGTTCCCTACTTTGGTCTGGAATCTACTGAACAGATTATCACAGAGATCTGTGGTAATGATTACATATCTTCATTGAAGTTTCCACCTGTTCACATTTTTATTTTCTTCATAACAAAATAAATCTATGGCCCATCTTCAGTCAAACAACTTACTGATGTGATATAATCAGGTGCAACTTAAAATAGAGTTCTGAGTCATTGATAACATACAAGTGCAGAATAAAGGTGGCTGCTGTGGCTTTAGCTCCCCTTGTGGACAATGATCGATATTGCAACTTAACTCAAGAGTAACCATCAAAGCTGAAGCACAATGTTGTTGTTTTTATTAACATAATGCACAATTAGCTGTAGCTCTCTTACAGAGAAAGACAAACATGAACAACACACACAATCTTTTTACATATAGAATTGAAGCACAGCTAGCTGCTACTGTCATGGTGGGTGGCAGTTTCTTGACCAACGACATGCAGAATCACAACACAGAACCGTTTAGTGCGTTAAAAAACGTCTTTATTTTTAAATGAGGAGTAACGTGAGAAATGGGAACAGATGAAGTGCAGGACTGGCAGCAAGATTCCAGGAGGAGATTCTGAGGAGGGAGAGAGAATGAAAATATGGTGGGAATGACGGAGGATAATCTTAGGATGGAAGCTTACTGATTGCAGGTAGTGGTGAGAGGCTCGGGGAGGGCTAGGTCAGGTCAGGGTGAGCAGGGAGGATCCAGAAGGTGAAGTAACTGTTTGAACAAGAGGTGAGGTAGGAGTGGAGGTTTGGTGAGGGCAGGTGAGTGGCTGACAGCGGGCGGCCAGGGGAGGAGACAGCGTGATCTGGGTTGCAGGAGTCCGAGCTGGTTATGGGGATGGTGGAGTGTGGAGCGAAACCTGGAGAAGAGCAGGGAAGAGTAGTCAGGGTCTTTCTGGCGACAGGGTATTCAGCAAAATTCACGGGATCAAGTAAAGCACACAGGAACTAGCAAAAACACAAGATCGAGACAAGTTAGAGGCTAGAGCTACCCAAACAGAGTAATCATCCGGCGAAGTGAAGTGTCACAATGCTCCTTAAATCCCCGGGACCTTGATGACAGGATTAGCTGCAGCTGGAAACTGTCAGACACGCCCACCTGTGAACAATGCTCAGAGGAAAACAAGGTTACAGACAGGAAGCTCACCACAGACCGTGACAGCTACAGGATGTAGGTCCTTCAATGTCTGTAGCAAGATGCTGCACATCTTCTACAAGTCTGTTGTTGAGAGTGTAATCTCTTCAGCCATCGTCTGTTGGGGTAGCAGCATCAGAAGCAGGGACCTGAAAAGGCTCAACAGCCTAATAAGGCTGGTTCTGTTCTGGGGACTACTGTGGAACCACTGGAGGAGATAATGCAAAGAAGGATTCTCCAGAGAATCAAGAAAATGATGGACAACCCTGAGCATTCTCTTCACAAGACTGTCCGACAACGGAAGAGTGTCTTCAGTCAGAGGCTTCTTCAGTTTCGCTGCAACACTGACCGCTACTGGAGATCCTTCCTGCCAACAACCCTTGTAATATACAACAACTCTTTGACGACTTGATTATTATTATTATTCTGAGCTACTTCAGCAATCAATTTCCCTCTGGGATTAATAAAGTATTTTTGAATTGAAATTAGTTTAATTGAATTTAAAACTCTCTAAAGTAATTGCTACAAAAGAAATGCAATGACTCATTTATTATTCATCTACCTGTTTTTGCTTGTGGCACCATTTAGATAGAAATTGTGAAATATGTTGAGCAATTTTAAAGTGACAATGTAGTTTTTACCATTATTCTCTGGAAATATACATTGAAATGTTGTTGTAAATTAATTAAAATATACCTAGTTGTTTTAAAATATTGGTGAATTCATATTATGTAACCATAAAAAGTGGGTCAAAAATCTACTAAAATCTTTCCATCTCTCTGTTGTTGGCTCTGTTTTTCACAGCTGGGGTCTGTTGGGGTGCAGGAAATTCTGACTGAGACAGAAAGAGACTGAACAAGTTAGCTAAGAAAGCTAGCTCGGTTCTGGGCTGACAACTAGATTCATTTGAGGAGATGTAAGAAAGGAGGATGCTGGGGAAGATGATCTCCATCTTTTAAAACCCCTCCCACCCACTGCATTCCACTGTGGAGACCATGGACAGCTCCTTCAGAGGCAGATTGAGAGATCCCAGATGAAAAACAGAATACTACCATAGGTCATTCATTCCCTCTGCAGTAAGGCTGTGTAACTCCTCAGTTTAACTGGTACTGGCATTATCCTGTTACACGATAACGTCAATGCAATACTCCATTTATGTGCAATACCTGCGACATTAGTATGGCTGTGTCTCTTATGCAGCATAACTCAGGAAACACAAGTTTGTTTTTTTGTGTGTTGTTTTAAGTGGTTGAAGGTTACAGTAATAGCTTATTGCCTTTGTGTGTTTACCTGTAAGCTTGTTTTTATTAGGCCCGAGCAGTGAAGCTGCGAAGGCCTATTGTATCTGCTCCGTTTATTTATTTTTTCTTCCGCGTCTTTGGATGGCCTTTAGGGGGTCTTAGCATATCCAAAAACTCACCAAATTCTGGCCCAATATAGAAAGTGCGTGAAATTTACGTATTTCACTGGCAACGTGAAAGTTGGTAAAAAAAATGTTTCAACAGCACCACTTGGAAATTTAAAAATACCCCTCCGCTTTGACCTTTTTTCATAGTAGAGTGATAAAATTTGGTACACTCGTAGAACTCAACAATACGCACAGAAGAGCCTCTTGTACCCATGGTCAATATCAAACAGGAAGTCGGCCATTTTGGACTAAAGTGGCCATTTTGACCCCGTTTTGGCCGTTTCTAGGGTCTATATTTGGTTGAACAGTTTGGTCTTTTTTCGCACGATCGTCTCAAAAATAGTGTGCGATCGAACAGAAGCGATAAACGATTCAAATGAGACAATAAAATTGACTTTTCGTAAATATTGAAGGGGCGGTACCAGGCCTCAAAGTTTGAGCACTCGCCCAAAAAATTCAAATTGCTATAATTTCATAAATGAAAGAATTACAGTTAAAGAAATGTTCTATGGACAATTGTCATCGCCCTACAAAGACAAATGAATGGTCGATTGATGATGTCACATAAGCCCCGCCCCCTCAGGACTTAAAGGTCAAGTTTTACTGGGAAATTTCCAAAATTCGCCCTTTCAAATAATCACCCCAAATTTGTAGCAGGTAACTGAAGACAAGTTGGGGTTGCTTGGCATCAATTTATGGGAGTTTTCTGCAGAAGGCGAGGCTGTGGCGGTGCGGCGAAGTCAGGCGTACCAACATGGCCTTACGTTTGCCTCCCATTTCGTCATTTCTAGAGATATCGCCACGAGACTTCTTGGGAGTGATCCTAGTCCGGCCCCCCAAAAAATGTGATGTGAACATCCGGTGGGCGTGACCTATTTTCTGAAATAGCGCCCCCTAGGACCATTAAACTGCCAGCCCTAAGCCAAGCCATGCTTTGACTGAGGAGTACGAAATTTGGTACACTAATGTGGTGTCTCAGGCCCTACAAAAAAGTCTCTTGGAGCCAAGTGCAAAGTCGCACAGGAAGTCGGCCATTTTGGTCCAATTACACGATTTAGTGGTTTTCGCACACGTTGTTTGGAGAAGGATTCTCCATCACCCTTTTCAACAATCACCTTCAAACATCTGCTATACACTCTTAAGACATAGATGAAAAAATTCAACCGTCGCATTTTAAATAAGTATAAACGTTATTTGACTTAATAACTCCCATGTGCATGATCAGATCAATTTCAAACTTTGTCTGTGTGATCACTGACCACATCTGAAGACAGTGACAATGTGGACAGCTGACATCACCTAAGCCCCGCCCCCTGACTACAGGAAGTCTACTGTTTTATGGTGAAATGCCCATATTTGTCCCCTCTAATTTAGTCAAGATGACACTAAGGTCATGCACTGTCTTCATGATGTTGTAATGACCATTCAGATCTGATAGCTTTTCGGAAAGGGAGGGGCTTTGATGCCATGGCGATTTCTGGCGTGACGCTGTGAC